TTTGGTGTAAACTGAGCTTGAATTCCAAGAAAGTACTTGAGAGGACCCATATCTTTCATCATAAACTTCTCATTTAGCTTACTCAGCAACTTGGACACTAATCCTGAATCATTACCAGTCAGCACCATATCATCAACGTATAGAAGCAGTAGCATGACACTTTGTTGTTGTTGGTAAACAAACAAAGATGGATCACCTGTACTGCAGACAAAGCCAAATTCAATCAAGTAAGAACTAAATTTATCAAACCATGCCCTTGGAGCCTGTTTTAACCCATAAATAGCTTTGTGAAGTAAGCAAACATGATCTGGCTTTTCAGGATCTTCAAAACCAGGTGGTTGTCTCATATAGACCTTCTCTTGTAAATCCCCGTGTAAGAATGCATTTTTCACATCCAATTTCTTGATATCCCATTTTTCAACAACTGCAGTGTGTAAGATCATTCTTACTGTTGCAGTCCTTACCACAGGGCTATAAGTTTCCAAGAAATCAATTCCTTCTTCCTGTTCATATCCCTTTGCAACTAACCTTGCTCTGAGTTTATCCAAAGTTCCATCTGCATTAATCTTTGTCTTGAAAATCCATCGGCTTCCTAATAGATTCACATTTGCAGGTTTGGGAACTAAACTCCATGTGTTAGTAGAATGACATGTTTCAATCTCTTCTTCACAGGCTGCAGTCCATCCAGGATGTTTTAGAGCCTCTTGAACTGATTTTGGCTCTTCTGGTAGACCCTTGACAGTAATTAAGACATATCTTGGATTTGGTTTACGTATTCCTTGCTTCCCTCTGGTGATCATACTGTGCATGTTGGTTTCTTGAGAAGTCTGAGCATTGTCGTCTTGATTGTTTTCAGTCATGTCATTGTGATTCTGAGTTGAATGTAGAGGTGAGATATTGTCTCTTTCTGTAGGTTCTGGATGCACATTCACTTGCTGTGTGGAGTTATCAGGTAACATTGGAGTGAGAAGCTCTTCTTCTGTAGTCTCTTCTGACCCCTCTTCATTCTCATTCTGAACTGAGCCCAAAGACCAAGCCTGCATCAGAGGAGTAGTTGCAGGAGACACCAACTTCTGGTAAGTATCTGTATAGGGAAACCTTGTCTCATCAAATAGAACATGTCGACTGATGTATACACGTCCTGTAGGAGGATGAAGACACATGTACCCCTTATATTGCTCTGTATAGCCCAGAAAAACACACAATAATGACTTAGGATCAAACTTGTTTTTACTGTAGGGTCTGAGATATGGGTAACAAGCACATCCGAAGACTCTTAAAGCTGTGTAGACTAGTCGAACTCCATTCAAGACTTCAAATGGACTCTGCATCTTCTCATGAGTGGTGGTAGGTAGTAGGTTGCTTAGAAAGTTGGTAGTGAATATAGCATCAACCCAGAGATTTTGAGGAAGGTGACTGTGAAACAACATAGACATACCAAGCTCCATTAAATGTCTATGTTTCCTCTCTGCAAGCCCATTTTGTTGAGGTGTGTAAGGGCAAGACATGATGTGTTGAATGCCACAAGCAGTTAAATGATTTTGGAGTTGTCTATTAACAAACTCTCCACCACCATCACTTTGAAAAATCTTGATTCTCTGATTAAACTGATTCTCCACCAGAGATTGAAAACTCTTAAAAACTTCAGAAACATCAGATTTCAACTTAAGTGGATACAACCAACAGAACCTTGAGTAATTGTCAATGAATACAACATAAAATCTGAAACCCTGAACTGAAGTAACAGGTGCAGGACCCCAGACATCACTATGTATTCTCTCTAGTGGTCTGCTAGCTTGAAACTCTGATCTTGAAAAAGGAAGCTTGCACGTTTTTCCTAGTTGACATGCTTCACACATTGACTTAGTAGCCTTATTGAAAGAGATAGCACTGATAGAAGATAGATGTTGCATGACTTGATGGTGAGGATGCCCCAGTCTCTTGTGCTAAATAACATCACTTGTAATCTGTTGCCTGGATGAATAGAACGCCAAGAACTGAGGATTCTCCAACCTGTACAAGCCATTCACTACAGGAAATGTGGGTATTAATAGCGGCCGAAAAACGCAATTATTCATCTACCATAGCGTTTCCTTAAGCGCTCTGACATCGCCCGTTATAGAAAGTCGGACACTTTTGATAGCGGTTTTGCGTTGTGCAATAGTTAAGTATACAACGATAGCGTTGTCTTCTGTGCAATTGTTAATGTTTATAATAGCGTGATAAAGATGTTATTAAAACTCGTTAATTAGATTTTACCTATAGCAAAGATAGCAAATGTTTTGTGTTATTAGTTTGTTTTTAAATTATTCAAAATAATAAATAATTACAAATTATTTTTTAATTTAAATATAATATTTGTAAAAAAAAAATAATTTCGAATATTTGTAAAAAAAAATACCATTAAAATTAATACAAAATATATAAATATTAAAATGTTTAGTAACCCATTTCAAATTTCATTGTTTACAAAAACCACAAACATACCTATCAATCTACCACTAACAAACCTTCACAATCATCCCTAACATAAACAATATCATCATCAAAAGCTTCATCATCCAAATCATCGACTTCTTTGATCAGTCTTGATCCATCTTCTGGGATGTTGGAGCCGAGAAACGATTTGATGCTTTCATCATTTAGCTCACCTAAACGAGGAGAATCCATTGAAGTAGTTCTAAGTATTCTTGGAGACTCCATTGAAGTAGTTCTATGTATTTTGGGAGATTTTGGTGTTGGTGGTAGACGCGGAGACTCTATTGAAATAGTTCTCTGTGTTCTTGGTGATGCCATTGGCACATTTGCTGCAGTGGCTGATGTCGACCCAGCTTCAACTTGCTCCATTGATGTCTCGTGCGCTGCTACCAGTTCCCCAAAATCTAACCCGGAGCTCACTAATTCGTCGTATCTTCCTGACTGCACAATCATTCCATCTCGCATAACCTGTAAAACAGATTTACTCATTAGCAAATTCCTATAAAAACTCAACAAGTTTTAGCTTTTTGTTCCAACGAACTGTACCAAGATGCGATCAACGTTGTGAAGGAAGTCCACTTGACTCCTTTCCAGTCTCTTCCGATAGCTCTCTGCTCATCATGTAAGCGTCGTCCAAAAAAACTATCTTGTTAACAATAAAGAGAGAAATCAAACTTATGATATCATGACAACAGAACAAGGAACCAGAGATTCAGACAACAAACAAAGAAACAAACCTTGGAGTTCTCGTTGTTTGTAATTGAATCCCACTTCTCCTGAACCTCTGCTGGAATTTTCAACAGAATCTTGCTTCTTCTCTTCTTCTTCCTCTTCGTCTTCTCAAGACCAGACTCATCTTTCTTCCTCTGTCTCTTCTTCCCTACTTTGTCATTAAAATCAGTCGTAGGTTCCTTAAAATTGCCAAGATCTTCTTCGCCTTCGTCTACAAATTCAGGAACATAAATCTGACTTTTTATCTAATCTCCTCCTTGTGATATCCGTCACAGAGATGACTGGACCCGTAAACCCAAATACACGATTGAAATCTGCCTTGAACAACGGCACGCGTGGTATCTTCCGGCGCCGTTTTGAGGTCCAGATAAGTCTCCCCGACCTTCTCTCCCTCGAATGAGATGATTGGAAGAGTCGCTAGCTGAGATGCAACAGAGAGCGGTTTCGATGCTTTGCCGGAGCCGAATTTTGAAACGGAAATGTAGGTTTTAGGGATTTGGTGAGAGGAAGATAAAAAGAGAGAAGAGGAGAAGAAAGATAGAGAATTTGGGGCTGTTGCAGAGGAATCCATTGTTGGTCGATGAGCTCACCTATCTCAACGAAGAAGAAGAAGATTGAAAGTTTTAACCTATCCCATAAGATGTAAGATCTAAGAACAGATCGTACTAAGGAAGAGAAAGCCAAAAGGAAAAGAAGTTTTAACCCAAAAAAAAAGAAAAGAAGGAGAAACGTTTAGCCGTCGGATTAAATTCATCAACGGTGGAGAATAAGCCCAGAGTGCAATCTCAGCAGTTACTCCTTATTGGCTAAGAACATGAACGGCTCAGATCAAATCAGCGATACAGATCAACAGTGTATATTAATCACGTCAACAATAAGAAAGGACGGCTCAGATCAAAGTCGGCGCGATCTAACGGTGTAGGATTCGTCCCACCATGTGGGAGGTGAGTTCTCATTGGCTAATAATGAAAAAATCAGAAAATTATCATATAAAATTGTTTATTAATGAAAAAAATATAAATTATTTCTTTAAAAATTCAATATACGTATTTCAATTTTTAGAATATTTTTCTTATAAGTATAAAATTTTAAAATTAAGAACAATTAATATAGGTTAGTATTCCAACTATCTAACTTATATGTTCATATACACTAAGGCATAGTTTAGGGTTTAGGGTTTAAACTTTGGGATTTAGATTTTTTTACTCAAGTATTTATGTTTTATAGTTTATGATTTCGAATTTCAATTTAGGATTTTAACTTTAATTTAGAGTTTAAAGATTTAATTTAATTAGGATTTTAACTTTAATTTAGGGTTTAGGGTTTAGGGTTTAGGGTTTAGAGATTTAATGTAAGATTTTAACTTTAAAATTTAAAATAATTATTTTAAAATAATTTTATTTTGTTAATTTATAAAAAGTGAATCATGTTTCAAGATTGAACTTTCAACCCTAAACCCTATACCCTAAATGGTTTAGGGTTTAGGGTTTAGGGTATAGGGTTCCATCTTTAAACATTTTTCACTATTTTTCAATTAACAAAATAAAACAAAAAATCATTAAAAACTTTTCAATTAAAATTTATTTAAATTTTTTTATTTCTTTTACAAGAATTTTTTTCATTAGTATAATTTTATTATTATTATATGATACATTAGTTAATTTTATATTCCATTGTTGATTGTATATATATATATATTTTTTTAGAAGAAAATTTCTGTTCCATGATTTTGTTTGTAGTTTAAAATTATTTGATAGTATATTATTAACAAACTATCAAACGTATACGAATAATTATGAATTAAAATTTATTAACATGAGAAAACAAAGTCTAGAGAAGTGCATACATATATTGTTCGACATAAAAATAAAACAAAGTCTAGAGAAGTGCATACCAAAATAAAACAAAGTTTTCGACACTTTCTCTTTTTTTTTTTTTTTTTTTTGAACACCAGTCTTCGACACTTAAAACAAATGGTGCGACATAAATTTCAGAGACCTTGTTGTACTTGTGACACGTTGAGTATACATAGTGCAGTTTCAGCATCCTCTAACTTTTCCCTAAAATCTGATTCTTCTGCAGTACACTCAGATGGAAGTTCATCACCAACTTCAGATTCAAAAAAAGCTGTCCTCATCAAGTAATAAGCCTCTTCCTCTGAATTTGGAACATCTGCAGATGTTCTATCCCTCCTGTCCCCATGCTTAAACTAACATGGATTCCTCTTGTACTTCAAATCCATACCTCTAATCACAAGAGGCTCAAATACAATATCTATCAGCTGATGGCAAACATTCCAACAATCGACGCATGGACAGAACAGATTCTTATGTCAAAATTCAAAGACGCTATCACGAACCTTGGTATGAGACATCTTCTTTCGCCTCTCTCATTAGCCAGATTGCAATTCCCCCAAGCCTGAGTGTCTCATCTATTACCTGTTGAGAAATCAAGAAAAGTGTTTAGTGAAGGTTTTTACCATATGTGATAAGAAGCAGAGAACATTCTTGGGCATCTTGATTTACTTACGCATTGAGTGAAGTCCATTGTCTTGTAATCTTGCCATGTTAGCATTCCACCTGCGAGCCTATCATGTTCTTCCTGCTCATTTGCACGATGTTTTCGCAGTGGTTTCATTTCCGGCAAACAGTAGATTGATGATAAAATCTGCCATGGATTCGTTTGGTAAGCTTTCTTCTTCAAGCAATCTTCCAAGTACACCATTCCCAGCGCCAGCAGTATCTGATGCTGCTTTGTTCTGCAACCGCTTCTCTATCGTCTTGTTTATCTTGCTTATGATTTCCTTTCGTGCCTGAACAACAAATAAAAAGATCCAAGAAGTTGGTTAACCATAAGATGAATCGCAACCTGAAACAGAACAACCAAACAAAGAATAAATAATCATGACATTCTCTCAAGGCTTTGTTCGTATTATTCTTCAATCACTTGCCTTTCTGCAGATATCCTGGAGAAGCACGACTTCACCGTCCTTAAAGTTACTCAATGTCTGAAGCATATGGATTCCTCTTGTACTTCAAATCCATACAGATCCGCAAATCCAACTACACATCAGAAAAAGATACATGAGACATCAATAATCATGAGAGCAGTGGCAGCGACCGGTAAGAACTAGAGACAAGAGCTAGGAAACCAAATTAGCATCTTTATATGAGAGCAAGAAACTTTTCTACACTATCCAAACTCAGGACAAAAATCAATCGATACATGCATTATCTAGTAAAGAATCTAGTAAATAGACTATCTTGTAATGAATCTAAACTCAGACATAAATCAATCGAAAACACAAATTGAAAGTCGAACACCCAAACTCACATAAGAAGAAAGAAACACGATTCAAATCACACAAACAACAATCCAAAACCCAATTACTTCAAAAACAACAAAAACAGATGAAACCCTAACATGAATAAAAACTAAATCATTGAGAATATCGAACACCCATACATATACTAACCAATTTGATTTCGATTGATGTCTGTGACGATTAAGAAACATACGATCGAGATCTAGAGAGATTTCGACTGAGAGGGATTTAGATCTGAGAGGGATTAGACAAAATTAGGGATCGATAGTGGAAGAGAAACTAATTGGGTTTCATTTGGTGTTCATATTTGGTCTTTCAGGGAGAAAGAACGGATCAGTCTCGAGACAGAGAAGAAAGATGTGAGAAGAGGAAAGAAAGAAGAAAGATGTGAGAAGGATCGATAGCCCTAATTTTTTTTTTTTTTAAACTTATTGTTTCTTTGTTTTTTTTTATTATTTTGTTACTTAGTAAAATTTTTGGAGCCAATAAAATTTTAGTTTCCCGGTTATACCTATAATAACGTTTTAATTTACATCTATGCTATCATAGACCAAATACTAAGCGCCACTCTGAAATATTTTTCGCGCTCAACCTACCATAGCGTTTGCCTTTCTCCAAACGCTATCTAAAATTTTTCAAAACTCTATTATAGCATAAACATTCAAAACGCTATGCTCTTACGCTATTAATACCCACATTTCCTGTAGTGATTACTTTTGCTTCCCCGACTGAGAAGCTGGTTTGTGACTTTGTCCTTAACACACACAGACTCATTGTCAAACTCAATTTTACACGGATAATCATCTGTCAATTTTGAAACAGAGAGAAGAGATTTTGCAATTTCAGGGCAAACTAAGACATCTTTAAGAGGTAATGTACCTGTCAGACCTGGAAGAGCAATAGAGCCTATGTGTGTGATTGGTAAGAAATCTCCATTCCCCACTATGACTGAGTCATTTCCTTCATATGGTTGGCTCACATTTAGATTTGCTGCAGTGTTGGTTATATGATGAGTAGCTGCAGAATCAGGGTACCAACCACCACCTGGATACTGAGGAGAGTCATTGATCTTCATAGCAGCCATAGCCTGAGGGAAATCTTTTACTTCTGTCTGATAGTTCTCATCAAACCTCTTGTAGCATTTGTAAGCCGCATGACCATATTTTCCACATATTTGACAGGTAGGTCTCTGATCATTAGGTCCGTAGGTTGACTTGTCGCTACCTTGACCAAACTGCTGTGGGAAACCACGTCCTTGAGTGGAGTAAGAGTTCTTGCCACGAAAACTGCCTCGGTTCTGGCCTCTTCCACGACCTGAGTATCCTCCTCTAGCAGTGTAGAAGGCCTGATTTGGATTTGCCTCTGTTGCAGTGTAGAAAGCTTGGTGTTGATTAACTTCAGTAGGAGCTTCATACTTCTGTAGCTTATCATCAAAGTTGGTGAGTTTGTAGAGAACATCTTCAAAGCTGGGACTTGTTGGAAGGTCCATAGACTCCTCAATGACAGTGACAATAGACTCATACTCCCTACCAACACCAGACAAGACACCATAGATTTTCTCTTGTTCAGAGATAGGAGCACCTATTGAGTCTAGTTGATCACAGAGAGCTTTTATTTCTGACAAGTACTGAGCCAGAAACCTAGTTCCTTTTGTTGTAGTCTGAATCTTCCTCTGAATATCGAGTTTTCTAGTGGCTGACACCCGATTAAATTTCTTAGCTAGGTAAAACCATACCTCCTGTGAAGATCTGAGACCATAGACGCTTTTGAGAGTATCTTCAGACAGAGATCCAAAAATCCACGCCATTATGAGTTGATCGGTCTGCATCCATTTGAGAAACTCTGGATTGTTGGCCTCTGTGACTTGTTCTCCATTTCTGACAACCACCGTGGGAGGAGGACGAGCCAAAGCACCGGTAACATAGCCCAGAAGCAACTGACTGTTGAGAAACTGCTCAAACTGAAGTTTCCAAGACAAGTAATTTGTATCATTTAGCTTGAGTGTGACACACTGAGAAATAGAAAGAGTAGCTAGAGTGACAGCAAAAGGTTGAGCCGCCATGGCTCTGATACCATGTAGAGAAACTCAAGAAAGAGATAAAGATGAGAAACTTAAACTTTCATATTGAAATCTCATGAGCAAAACCCTAGACATAGTTTTGCTTTTATACAAGAGATAAGAACAATCTAGACTAGGAACAATCTAGACTATGATGAGTCATCAGGTGACAGCTATGACACTTGATCCGAGAGTGATGCGAATCTATTCTCCAGCTTGATTGGTTGAGGTGTGGAGACCGTACTCTTTGTCGTTGCTCTGCTTTTGGTCAAGGTTACCGTTGGAGACCTTGTTGACTGAGACAGTGACTTGGGCTCTTGGTGGGCTTCTTGTTTATGGTTTGAGCCCACATCCAATGTATCTTTAACAATCATAGCCCAAGTAATAAAACAGATCTGTCCTCTGAGAATCAAACTTAGGCAAAGTAATGGATTTTCTAGTGCTAGGGTTATCTCTATACTATTAAAAGAGAAGTACAAATGAAAATGGGTCGGGTTAAAATCAGAAAATTGACCCGAAATTCTGAAATCGGATCTTTGAAATTTTTTGGGAATATAAATTCGAATTAATAAAGAAAAATCGAAATAAAATCAAATATTTATGGAAATCAAATAAAATCTGATTGTACTTATGGTAACTAATAATAAAAGCATATTCCAAACAATATTATACATTAATTACGTATAATAAATTTGTTCATATATTTTTGGGACTAATTCCATAACAATCAACGTTTTTGTCATTAATTTCGCTCATTTTAGCCAATTATCATTAATTGAAAGATATTTTACTTGCTTCTAAAGATTTCTAGAAAATTTATCATAAATAACCCATCTGTTTTATAAATTAAATTGATATTTTTATTTTGGTCGTGTAAATTAAATAGATATTTTTATTTTGTTCGTGTAAATTAAATAGATATAAAATCCATGTAACTAATTTTAATTTAATTAGATTAAAACGAAATTATGATATTTTCATACCTATAGCTTACCAAAGAAGTTTAATTTTCAATTTATAAAGATTTCTTGAATATGATTTTAGAATTATTCAACAAGATGATAAGTATTTATTAAATTTTGTGAATCATGAAAAATAATAATTAATTTTTAATCATTATACTTCATCTTTCAATCTCTCATCTAACAAATAAGATACATATTCTATTATTACTATGTCCAAATTTCATTTTGTTGTATGACTAAATAATATTCACATTAGAACTGTCAAAGCGAGTTGATTCGTCCCGTTAAGTCCATTTTGCGATAGACAAAAAATATTTTGACTTGTAGTTAGTCGGTCCGCACGACCCGCGGGTAGCATATATGAAATACAAACCCGTCCCGCGAATGTATGCGGATTTGCGGGATTGTCCATGGTTTTTGTTTAAATAATTTTAAAGTAACCAAAATTTAAAATACTACTAAAATAAATAAATAAATCAAAATACTATTAAAAGTTTGTTTAAATTACCACATGTTGAATAAATTATAATTTTATCAATAAATACTAATATGCGGGCTGATCCGCCAACCTGCGGATGAAAACCGATTAAACCTATGACCCACTGCGAATTAATCCATGTGGCCCACTTATTTGCGGGTTTAATATATTTTCCCAAATCTGCCCCATAGTGAGATGATGTGGGCTGGACCCGCGGTTTTTGACCTATTTTGACTGCTCTAATTCCCATGAATCGTCTAATTTTAGAATTTTAAAACAAAATTCTATTTTGTAAATCATAATTATTACGATGGGTATATTTATAAACAATTTTACATTTTCTCTACAATTCGTTATTATGAATATTTATAAGTATACTACACGATTCGTTCTACTAAAAAACACACACAATATTAAACGCAACATATGTAAACCAATATTCTCCCGCGGTGGACCGCGGATCCGATCCTAGTATACCATGAGTTTAGAAGGAGGGCCATAGAAAATCAAACCATGAACAGAAGGAGCAAAACTTTTGTATGGTATAGAAGGACAATTCATAAGGTAAGTTGCAACAGACGACGATGATTCACCTTGATTTTGAGATTGACTCGCTGAGAAGAAGAAACGCTTGAAGGAATCTGACTTTACCTCGTCGAATGTGAAGATGAGACTTTGGGGACGAGTCCAAGACTTGATCAAGTACGATTTCATGAACTCTCGGCTGCGAATGATAGTTGCATGCGTATTGCTTCGATAGGCATAGAAATCTCGCTAGGGTTTTAACAGGCGATGCTTTGAGTATCTCGATAATGAGATCAGTTGGAATCCGATCTAAGGTTCCGATAGGTAGCTTACCGACGAATAGTGCCGATGGGTCTTGGTCACAAAATCTTATCTTCTTCTGGACGAAGAGAAGAAGAAATGAAGTATTGAAGTATATATATAGCTGTGATGGCTCGTTTTGCCTTTCTTTTTAAATTGGTATTTAATATTTAATATTTAAAATACATTAAAACGGTTAGGAATTTGACTTGTATTATGCAAGGGACAAAAAAACCGGTAATTTAGTTAAACGATAAAGATAAATATAAAATATTTATATTACATTAATACATGGAAAAAAATTATATAAAACTCGCAAATCGGAAGGATCCTAATGTAGTATATATATACTTTGAACTGCATACGCTTTATATACGCTAAATTATACATTTTAGAGTTAATGAGATGCGTTTAGCTTTAATATATATAAGATTAAGCATGACATATGGCTTGTCTTGATTAGTAAGGGTCGTTGAGTGAATGAAGACTTGTTTGTGAGGTGTGAATGTGTGTAAGTGTCATTTTTGTCCCATGAACAATTGTGTCTTTTTAGTTATTTTAGAGAATTGTGTCTTTTTATCTAGCTCACAATTTTCTAAAATGTATCCTTCCAAATCTTAATATCTATCAAATGGGATATTTAGGAGATCGCGAATAAACAAGTTCAATACATAGAGGCTACATGAACATAATTAAAAAAGATGCAAACACTAAACCAGGGACAATGCCGAGAGTATGAACATAAACAAAGTTTCACCAAAAAAAAAAAAAGACAAAGGTACAACTTAATTAAGAACAAACATTTCAATGGAGATAAGAGCGAGCACTCTTAGAGAAACATGAGATTATCAATCTGACCTGGGAAGATGGATAATGTGAAAGCATATGAATCTTTATCCCAAAGTTGATCCTTCAGTTCCGTGAATATTCCTTCTAGGTAGACTCTTCTTACAGTATTTTTCTTGGGATTATAATAGAGGACATAAAATGGTGTTCTACGATCAATAAATAAGTGTGCCAAAACAAATTCACCTGCATCATTGGCAGAAAATAGATGGGGAAAAAAGTTAAGTCTAGTTATCTATTGTTAGGCAAAACATAAAATGGTGCACAGACAGTTTCATACGGGCCAAAAAAATCTTACCTCCATCAGTAGCACAAAAGGGATAAAAATGATGATAAGTCTCGCCATCTAATGGAGGCAACACATACGACTTTTTCGACCATTCATGTTTCACAGCATCCTCTAGAACCCACAAATCAATTCTACAATCAGAATTTCCATAGAACGAGACTGCAAACTTTCTCTCGTAGCTTGTCAGCTTTCGGTTTAGAGGCGAGACACATTCTGGAAAATCTGGTAATTTTATGATAGCAAATTTTTCCGACCTAACATCAAAACTGATCATGACTGCATGAATCTTGACCAAGTCCAGAAAAGCTCCATAATACAAAACACCATTGATACATATTTCAGGAGAATAACGAGAATCAAGAAAGTGCGGAGGACAATCTTCAATCATCCTCCAAGAATTCTCCTTTCCCATTGTCAAAACCCAAATCTCTTGAGCTATAGAGTCTCCGGTAACAGGCAATCTTTTCACCATACACAACACTTTGTAATCACCACTGATGGGATCATAACCCAAGAAGTGGTGCATATCTAACCTATCAGAATCTATCTTAGGCAAAGTAATGGATCTTCTAATGCAAGGGTTATACACCATGAGATGAGGAGGAGGTCCATGGCAAATCAAACCATGAACAGAGGCAGAATAAGTTGTGTATGGTAGAGAATCGCAATTCATATGGTAAGTTGCTACTGCTACAGAAGATGATGATTCACCTCGATTTTGGGGTTGACTCACTGAGAAGAAGAAATGCCTCCAGGAACGTAACTTGGTGTCATTGAATGTGATGATGAGACTTTGGGGACGATTCGAGGACTTGATCAAGTACGATTTCATGAAGTCTCGGTTGCGAATAATGGATGTATATTCTTTCGATAGGGAGAGGAATCTCGCTAGGGTTTTGACTGGTAACCCTTTGAGTATCTCCGGCATGAGATCAAGTGGAATATGATCGTCGGAGATCTTCTTCTTCGCTCCATGTCTTTCCATGGCGAAGATACCAAAGGTGCCGATGAGTCTTGGTCACAAAATCTGATCCTCTGGACGAAGAGAGTAAGAAATGAAGAAAAGCTGAGATATGGCTCACGTTTTACACACAAAAGAAGATGATATTAAAAAATGAATAATGTTTTTTTTACACAAAATGAATTATGTTTATAAAAATTAAATTAGAACTCAATTGATATTTGTTGTATATATTTTAAAAAGAATAATCTTAAAATGTAACAATAATTATATACAACTTTCAACATTAAAAAGTATTGTGACAGAAAAATTCAACATTCATATAGTCATTGACAAAAAAAAAAAAAATCATATTAAGAAGAAACAAAGTTATATCGGTCGGCTCATCTATCGTTTTCCCTCTTTGTCTCTATTGTTTGGTTCATGCTTCTTTAAACAAAGTTTTCGTGGTTATGAAAATTTAAAGTTTATCAACAACAATATCTTTCTCTCTTTGGAGAGTGTTGTCTTGGAAAATAGAATGATTCCCATTGGAATTACTATCTTCTTAAAGGCTACTGGCAAGGATCACTCAAATCCGAGGGTTTGCTCCATCATTCCTTCAACGGAATGGTTTATTACTGATAACATTTTGGGGATTGCTCTGCCTAATGTTAATTGACGTTATCTATACTAAATTTTCTTCTTTCTATGAGTCATAGAATAAACTCGGATTAAGATATTGATTCTTATTATCTTTGCAACTATTGAAGAATTATAAACTCACTATCTTTTTGCATATGTTTAGTATTCTCTTTGTTTCGGAGAATTTTGTTTCTTTATTTTAACCATTTGTTTTGACAATACCAAAATTTATTTAGAGAATTGTATCGTAGCTCACTATTTTCTAATATATATATATATATATATATATATATATATATATATATATATATATATATATCAAGTAGGAGAATTAAAAGAATGCAAATTATGAAAAGGAAAATTACAAAATTAAAGAAGATGAGACAACAAAACACAAGTTCAAAATAGAGAGAGACTAAGCAAAACCATGACAAAGCTGAGAGTATGAATACAAACAAACTCTCTCAAAAAAAAAGACAAAAGATCAAACCTCCCAAGTAACTAGATGGAACACAACTACAGCTGAAGGAGAAACATTTCAATGGAGATAAGAGCGAGCAGTCTTTAGAGACACATGAGATTATCAACTTGACCAGGGAAGACAGAGATTATGCTATGATATGTATTTTCATTCAGTTCTGTGATTCCTTCTATGTATACTCTTCTCACACAATTTTTCTTTGGATCATAATATAGAACATAAAATGGGTCTGTACGCACACCTAGCGGTGCCAAAACAAGCTCACCTGCATCATTGGCACAAAAGAGATGGAAAAAAGTTAAGTATTGCCATCTAGTGTAGGCAAAACATAAAATGGTGCACCCAGTTTCGAGGGCCAAAACAAATCTCACCTTCATCAACAACACAAAAGGGATAAAAACCATAGCGAAGCTCGCCATTTATTGTAGGCAAAAAATAAGACTTCTTCGACCATTCATGTTTTGCGGCATCCTCTAAAACCCACAACTCAATTCTATAATCAGGAGAATAAGAGGACAAGAGTGCAAGCTTCCCCTCGTAGCTTGTAAGCTTTAGAGGCAAGAAAGACCTTTCAGGTAACTCTGGTCGTTTGATAAGATCAAATTTTTCCGATCTGACATCAAAACTCATGAATGCTTTATTCTTACCTTGTGTGTCGAGCAAGACCTTATAATACGAAACACCATTGATACATATATCAGGAGCATCAAGAGAATCAAGAAAGTGTTGAGGAAAATCTTCAACCAACCTCCAGGAATTCTCTTTTCCCAGTGTCAAAACCCGAAGCTCCTGAGCTAAACCAAATTTCCCACCAATAGGGTTTCCTTCAATCATACACAAAACTTTGTAAACACCATCGATGGGATCATAACCTAAGAAGTGGTACATATCTATCCTCAGAGAATCAATCTTGGGCAGAGTAATGGATCGTCTAATGCAAGGATTGTATACCATGAGTTTAGACGGAGGTCCATAACAAATCAAACCGTGAACAGAAGGAACAAAAGTTTTGTACGGTCGAGAATGGCATTTCATATGGTAAACCGCTACGGAAGATGATGATGGTTCACCTCGATCTTGGGGCTGAAGCAATGAGAAGAAAAAATACTTCCCGGAACACTTGTCTTCAAATGTGAAGATGAGACTTTGCGGACGATTCGAGGATTTCATCAAATACGATTTCACGAAATCTCGGTTGCGAATGATAGATGCACATTCTTTCGATACGCAAAGGAACCTTGCTAGGACTTTGATAGGCAGTCCTTTGAATATCTCTTGAATGAGATCAACTGGAACCACCGGATATGAGTTGCCTCCGATTGTTCCAAGATCATCAAAGATCTTCTTCTTTTTAGCTTTCTGTGTTTCTATGATAAGAACGTAAGGTGTCGATTGCTCTCAGTGGCAAAAGCTTATCTTCTGGACAAAGAAGAAATGAAGAATCCCGTTTTGGCCTTCTATTTAAATTGGAACTAGATATTGAGTATTTTTTTTTCCTTCCTTTTAAATTAAGACTATATTTTGAACCATGCTATGCGCGGGATAAAAAAAATCGGTAAACTCGTTAATTTCGATATATCTAGCTTTTATAGAATATAGATATTTCGCGAACATATATATGATTCCTATAATAAAAAGACGATATTATTTTTATTTTTATATTTTTTCAGGAGAAAAATGATTAATGTTTATAAATTTTAAAATATAACTTAATTGATCTTTGTAGTATATTTTAAAAGGAATGATCGTAAAAAGAAATCAATAATTATATATAACTTTCAACATTCAAAAGTATTGTGACAAAAAAAAATCAACATTCATATAAAGTTGTTGACCAAAAAATCAAAAAAATAAATCAACATTCGAATGTATATTAATGAAGAAACAACCCCATGACATTATAAAATGCAACAAGATTACTTTTACATTATTGTTTTGGAATGGGAAACTTATTATTCAGCAAAAATATATATATACATGGTAAGAAATCTAAACCTGAAAGGAAGTTTAAATGGGTAATAAAATTGTATGTGGGATGATGCGGTCTGGCAAACATTCTCAATAATTTGTGTTAGGTGAGAAAATTGACTGATGCCCTTTTTGGTGACATATATGATAGATCATAGATTGAGTGAGTGATGTCTTCCATTCCTTTTCCGCAAAATATTATAAATCGTTGCTTGAAAATATGAGACGGATAAGAAAAAGATCCAGTAGAGAGAACTTGTGACTAAGCATGTTTTGCACCATGTCAAGACCAATCCAAAGTTGGAGTTGTGCCAAGGACTGGGTAGCTAATGTCGGGTATAAGTAAATATATTTTACGTTAGAAACAAAATATCCATCTTATATATACTTGTTGATTCATTTATAGCTAAATACGAGAAAAAATAATTTAATTATAAAGCACCATGTTAAATAATTTAATTGTTTGTTGATTCACCAACACTAAGCTTACCAGAGGCAAAGCCGAGAGTATGATGAAGATAAACAAACTGTCATCAATAATGAAATTTTTTTAAGTAACTTAGGTGAAACTCAACTACAATAAAATCAATATAGTGAGGAGGAAAATTTTCTACTAACCTCCAATAATTCCCATATTACCTAATGTCAGAATCCGAAGCTCCTCAGCTAAACCGCGTCTCTTACGAACATGCGTTCCTACTGTCATACACAAAACTTTGTAATCATCATCAATGGAATCATATCCCAAGAAGTGGTGCATATCAGTCCTCTGAGAATTGATCTTAGGAAAAGTAATGGATCGTCTAGTGCTAGGGTTGTATACCATGATTTTAGACAGAGGTCCCTAACAAATCAAACCGGGAATAGAGGGACGGTTCAGAATGACATTTCATATGGTAAGTTTCTTCTATAGAACTAATAGAAGAGGGTAATATGTCACCTCGACTTTGGGTATGACTCGCTGAGAAGAAGAAATGCTTCGCGGAACACATGCCTTTGAATGTGAAGATGAGATTTTGAGGACGATTCGAAGACTTGATCAAGTACAATTTCATGAAATCTCGGTAGCGAGTGATGAATGCAAATTCTTTCGATACGCATAGAAACCTTGCTAAGGTTTTAAGGGGTAATCTTTTGAATGTTTCATAAATGAGATCAAACGGAATCTGAATTGAGTTTCCCTTGCTTGTGCTCTGATCATCAGAGATCTTTTTCTTCCCTCTCTGTCTTTCCATGGTCTTCTAGTCTATTGACTAACGAGAGCACTCTTTAGAGGAAAGAGATTCTCAACCTGCCCAGGGAAGATAGAGATTGTATAAGATTAAAATCTTTATCCTAAAGTGGAAGCTTCAGTTCCGTGATACCTTCTATAAAGACTCTTCTCACGGCATTTTTCTTCGTATCATAACAGAGAACATCAAATGGGATCGTAACCTAAGTAATGGTACATGTATAACATTGGATATTAATGAAAGATAACCCTGAGATCCTTAATATGTATAACATTGGATATTAATGAAAGATAACCCTGAGATCGTTAAGCAAAACATTCAAGAAAACTATTTCTATCACTTTATGAGATACTTAGATATATATATAAAAGGTAATTTATAGAAGATGAAGAGCGTAATGCCCTAGTTCAAAACAGAAAGTCTACATATTAAATACATGCCGATCGATACTATGAACATAGACAAACTGTCACCAAAAAAAAAAAGACAAAAGATAATCAAAAACCTCCCAAGTAAGTAAGATTAAACACAACTAAAGCTGAAGAACAAACATTTCATCAGTGGGGAGAGCGCGCCTCAGAGAAACATGAGATTATCAACCTGACCAGAGAAGACGGAGATTATACGAAGATATCGATCCTTGTCCCAACGCGGAACCATTAGTTCTCTGATTCCTTGTATGACCACACTTCTCATAGTTTTTTTCTTTGGATGATAAAAGAGAACTTCAAATGTTTTTGAACGCACATAGTCAGGTGCCAAAACAATCTCCCCTGCATCATTAGTACAAAAGAGATAGTGATGAAAGTAAGGACTGTGAACTAGTGTAGACAAAACATCATAAGACATCTTGGACCATTCATGTTTTGCAGCATCCACTAGAACCCACAAATGAATTCTACAATCAGCAATTCCAGGAAACAGGAGTGTAGGCTTTCCCTCATAGCGTGTCAGCTTTGGACGGAAGTCATGGTCTGGTCCTCCTTTAATAAGATGAAATTTTTCAGATCTAACATCAAAACTCATGACTGCATGATTCGCGGCTGTATCAAGCATAGCTACATAATACAAAACACCATTGATACACAAATCAGGAGTATCTTCATAACAAAGACAGTGAGGAGGAAAATCTTCAATCACCATCCAAGAAGTCCGCTTTCTCAAAGTCAAAACCCGAAGCTCCTGAGCTAAATACCGTCCCCATTTAACATGCATGCCTTTGATCATACACAACACTTTGTAATCACCATCAATAGGATCATAACCTATATGGTGGTATATAGATACACTCTGAGTATCAATCTTGGGAAGGATTTTGGATCTTCTAGTGCTAGGGTTAGATACTATTAGTTTAGAAGGAGGTCCATGGCAAATCAGACCGTGAACAGAAGGAGCAACGGTTCTAAATAGATCCTGGCAATTCATAAGGTAAGTTGGTACAGAAGATGAAGTTGATTCACCTTGATCAAGCAATGAGAAGAAGCAATGCTTCCCGTTGCCAGCGATTGTGAAGATGAGACTTTGCGGGCGAGTCGAAGACTTGATCAAGTACGATTTCATGAAGTCTCGGTTGCGAATGATGGAAGTATATTCTTTCGATAGAGAGAGGAACCTAGCTAGGGTTTTGACAGGTAACCCTTTGAGTATCTCCGGGATTAGGTCAAACGGAATCTGAACTGGGTTTGCTCTGCATGTTATCAGATCATCGGAGATCTTCTTCATCTTCTTCGATCTCTGTTTCTCCATGGCGGTGATAAGAACGAAGAGACGTCGATTTGACTTCCCACTGAGAAAAACTTAAGGAAGAAGAGAAGAAATAAGAAATGAGGAGGAAACGTGGTGCCGTTTTAAACGGGTGGGAATATGAGTAGACGTGGTGCCGTTTCAATTAAAATGGACGAAGCTTTTGACGGATGTCACGGAGTTAAACGCTACACGTTTCCATTACTGACATTGAAATGACCATTACACGCAAAATTCGGGATTTTCAGATTTTGTTAAATTTCTTTTAGTTTGGGCCTTGTAAAATTGTTTTGTAACCGAAATAATTGAAAGAAATATAACCAAATCTAGGGAAAGTGTGAATTAATTGATTGAGGAATTTAGGGGAATCTGAGTTTTAATAAGTTTTAATGTTGAGTAAATTAAGTGAAACAATGATAATAATTTACCATCAATTCTGTTTATTTTAACATCAAGCTCTTCTACTTAATTCTTTCAATTTTCAAAATAAACACCATACAAATATCCAAAATTAATGTTCTTTTTGGATCTTTATATATGCTAGGGTTGTACGTATACCATGAGTTTAGAAGGATGTCCATAGCAAATCAAACCACGAACAGAGGGAGCAACGGTTGTATACGACTGAGAATGACAATTCATATGGTAAGTTACTACGGTAGATGATGATGATTCACCTCGATTTTGAATATATAACTTAAATATAGCAAATTGATGTGTTGCAAATTAAATTGCCGGAGAAATGATTGTATGTTTCAAGTCTTTTGTCTCACTGATGAAGGTGAGCTTGTAAACCACCATTTTCCCTTCTTTATTATGATCCACAGGAAAATAATGAGGGAACAGTCTACATAGAAGGAATCACATAACTGAAGCTTCCACTTTGGGATAAAGATTCAGATCGTCATTTAATCTCTATCTTTCCTGGTCAGGTTGAGAATCTCATATGTCTCTAACGAGTGATCATCTCCACTTAAATGTTTTGTTCTTCGGTTGTAGTTGAGTTTTATCTAGTTTAATTGGGAGGGTTTCATGATCTTTTGTCTTTATTGGTGACAGTTTCTCTATGTTCTTAGTCAGGGCTTTGCCTCTTGTTGCTTAGTGTTGCACGTCTTGAATATTCACGGAGTTTCTCTGTTTTGAACTTATACATTACCCCCTTCATCTTTTATAAATTTAGAGGTCTACTATCTTATGTTACATCTGGATTGATATGTTTATATTTGTTTACATGTGGATTCTCGATCTCTCAGATTCCTAAATTGTGGACAAAGTTTAATATGACATTGAATTTCGTGAGCTTGATCTATTGAGTTCCAAATGTTGTTATTGCAGAACAGGAAAGGTATGTTTCTTGGATTCAAATGTTATTGAAAAATGTTACTTAATTTTTCTATAATTAAGTAAAGAATCTAATAGAACAAAACATATAGATATAAAATGTATTTAATTATCAAATGATGTTAGGTTTGTTTCTTGGTTGCATGCATACTTGCATGTTTGATCAATTTTGTTTTTTGTTCTATATTTTTTGTGAATGATAATTTTTTATATATTTTTATCATTATAAATGTTTACATCTTGGATAATATTCATCGTATTTTCTTACTTTTAAGATAAACACATACAGTACCTGATTTCAACAAAACTTAACTTGTTATCTTTGTGTTTCACAGTCTCATCCAAATTTTTAATATGTGCATACATATAAAGTCTTGTAATAACAAAGAGTCAAAGAAAGTAAAAAGATTAAACAGCAGAGGGACAAATGCAAAAGCAGGTGAGAAACTGAAAGTGTCTCACAACCTACATTGGAGACGGAAACATCGACCACCAACTTTCATAGTGCGTATAAATCTGTTGGGATAAAGATAGCTTCATCATAGCCACCAACCTCTTCTAATTCTTTTATGCATTATGATTTTTATTATGTTGTCTCACTCATCACATATCTTTTTATATCTACGTTTGTGATTAGAAACACAAAAAGGACATATTTAGAAAGAAAACAAAAACCTTGTAAATCCTTATGTTTCATGTCAATAGTAGGTAGGAGGTAGAAGGAAAAGGTGAAAATTCCAAAAAAAAAACCCAAAGTAATTTTTATTTGGACGTTTAATGCCCAATTATTTTTTATTGGAATAAAAATACCTCAACTAATTATTCGTGGTCATAAAATACTTCGTATATAAACTATTGGTAGAATCAAACCCGCACGTTAACAGCCGTTAACGGCCGTAAAGGAATTAACTAACGGCGTTAAATATCATTCTCATATAACTTAATCTATATATATAATCTGCTCTTATAATTTACGAAGATTTTAACGTGGTCCAGTGGAATAGTCCGGCTTACTCCATATACACGACCCGGGTTCGATTCCAGTGAAGTCAAATTTTTTTTTTTCTCTTCTTCTCCTTTGCTGATCTCAGGTTTTTTTTTTTTTACTCTCCTTTCCCGTCGTTGACCACCACCGTCCCAGAAATAATACTTCATCCCCAACCATGAATAAGAACCTCCAATTCCTCTTCCAAATCGAGTAACAAATCGGTACACCCACACCATCAACCATCACCCTCGTATCTCCAACCATCATTTCACTCACCAAGCCTTTACAAACCCTAAACCTCTCATTCCTAATCGCAGAGGAGGATAATTAAGAATTCCCAGCCCCGAAATCAACCTCCCATTGTAGCTATTTGAATTTGAATTCCCAATTTTCAGATATGAGGAAGGCGAAGAAGAGAAGAAGAAGAAGAGAAAAAAAAAAAAAAAAGGAAGACAAAATTAGCTATGAGGACAACTCGAACCCAAGCTTACAACTTTCCGTTTACCACTAGACCACAACAACTTATTCACATAACCTTGTTAAACGATTGTATATATTAATTAACATATTTGAGTTTAATATTTAACGCCGTTAGTTAATTCCTTTACGTCCGTTAACGGCTGTTAACGTGCGGGTTTGATTCTACCAATAATTTATATACAAAGTATTTTATGACCACGAATAATTAGTTGAGGTATTTTTATTCCAATCAAAAATAATTGGGCATTAAACGTCCAAATAAAAATTACTTTGGGTTTTTTTTTGGGAATTTTCCCGAAGGAAAAGTAACTAGGTAGGAAGGAGGTAGCAGATTCTAAAATATATCAAATCTATACTAGTATAATCGCAGCACTTTTTGTGACGGGTGAGTAAAAAAGCTTTCGGGTATATCGGATATCCGACCCATTTTAAAAATTTCTTCACAAAAAATTTGTTGGGTCGGGTTATATTTAACCCAACTCATACACCGGATATTCCATATTTAATAATTTAGATTTTTAGAAGATTTGATTAAGATTTATAATTATGATTCTCCTATCATCTTTGTTTGATTTGTTTTTAACTGTTTTGAATCATCATATAATACATAAAGTAAAAAAAAAAAAAAATCAATTTTTTTTCTGCATATACTATGATTCGAAATTTAAAAAACGGACATATATTATCCAATTGACGAAAATGTGTGTTCAACGTTCTACATCGATTAAAATATTTAGACAATGATTCAGAATCATATCATAAATAAGAACATTAATAAAATAAATGAGTTTTTTGGCGGGACGGGTTTTTGAATCAACAATAATAAAAAGATTAAAATATCATTAATCCGCCGCTTCAATACGGATTTAATCCTTTTTTTTTTAATACAAATCACAGGACGGGTTAAGAAATTACGGAACGGGTTATATTTCGGAAATGATTTATATGGCGGACGAATTTGAATCAATATTTATATACCGCTTTAATACGGGTTAAATCCTCAGTTTATTAATAATTATCTCGTGGACTCGTGGTATACCGTTACTTAATAACAATTGTAAACTATAATATAAATAAATATGTTATAAGGAGATACAATTTACAAAATATTTTTATACTAACTTTAAAATTAAATCATCCCGCGGTACACCGCGGGTTAAAATCTAGTGCTTAGAAAAATATTAACTTATCTCTATACTATTAAAAGAGAAGTACAAATGCAAATGGGTCGGGTCAAAATCAGAAAATTGACCCAAAATTCTGAAATCGGATCTTTGAATTTTTTTTTGAATATGAATTCTAATTAATATTTAATAATAAAAAATCGAACTAAAATAAAATATTTATTGAAATCAAATAAAATCTGATTGTATTTATGGTAACTAATTATAAAAACATATTCCGAACAATACTATACATTACGTATAATATATTTTTCATATATTTTTGGAACTAATTCCATAACAATCAACGTTTTTGTCATTAATTTTGCTTATTTTAGCCAATTATCATTAATTGAAAGATATCTTACTTGCTTCAAAAGATTTCTAGAAAATTTATCACAACTAACCCATCTATTTTATAAATTAAATAGATATTTTTATTTTGGTCGTATAAATTAAATAGATATGAAATCCATGTAACTAATTTTAATTTAATTAGATTAAATCGAAATTATGGTATTTTCATACTTATAGCTTACCAAAGAAGTTTAATTTTAAAATTATAAAGATTTCTTGAATATGATTTTTAGAATTATTCAACAAGATGATAAATATTTATTAAATTTTACGAATCATGGTAAATAATAATTAATTTTTAATCGTTATATTTCACCTTTCAAAGTTTCAATCTCTCATCTAACAAATAGGATATATATTCTATTATTACTATGTCTAAACTCTATTTTGTTGAATGACTAAATAATATTCCCATTAGAGCTGTCAAAGCGAGTTGATTCGTCCCGTTAAGCCCGTTTTGTGATAGGCAAAATATATTTTGACATATAGTTAGTTGGTCCACACGACCCGCATATAGCATATATGAAACACAAACCCATCTAGCGAATGTATGCTGATTTGCGGGGTTGTCTGTGGATTTTGGTTAAATAATTTTAAAGTAACAAAAATTTAAAATACTACTAAAATAAATAATAAAAAAATTAGAAGGAATAATTTATATCTCATTATATTTATAAATATTATAATTTCATTTATCAAAAGTTTTTTAAATTACCAAATGTTGAATAAATTATATTTTTATCAATAAATACTAACATGCGGGCTGATCCGCCAACCCGCGGACAAAAACCGATTAAAACCTATGATCCACTGCGAATCAATCCATGTGACCCGTTTATTTACGGATTTAATATATTTTCACAAATATGCCCCATAGTGAGATGATTTTGGCTCGATCCACGGTTTTTGACCTATTTTTACTGCTCTAATTCCTATGAATTGTCTAATTTTAGAATTCTAAAACATAAAATTCCATTTTGTAATCCTAATTAATATGATCGGTTTAATTATAAACAATTTAACATTTTCTATCTACAATTCGTTATTATGAATATTTATAAGTACACTACCCGATTCGCTCTACTTAAAACACAAACTATTAAAATCAACGTATGTAAACCAATATTCTCCCGCGGTCCACCGCGGGTCCGATCCTAGTTTCAGACATGTAATTTCTATCACGTTCTCTCCAAAAAAAGGTGTCTTTTATCGGTATATATAGTTGAATCTTATCATTGGATCAACATAACATATATTTGAAAAAGAAAAAAGAAAAACATAACATATAGTTATATCGGATCAAGTAGACTTGATACCATATTAAACATTATAAATTTACGTTTTGAAACTAATCGACAATAAATAGACGAACTCAAAACTCTTATGTAGTATATTATGTATTTCAAATATGTTAACTTTTTAGTTAAATTCATTTTGAAACATCTTATAAAATAATGAAAACTTCGAACACTATGGTCCATGTACGAATATACGATGACATAACATCCTTTATTAGAAATATTCACACATTTCATAACCTACAACTGCTGATTTTCGTATGGATTTATAATTTTTGCTTATAAATTTACTAGACATTTGTTTTTAACAAGAATCAAAAACATATAGAAAAGGATAATTAAGAAGTGTTTATAAATGGTCAAAACAACTAATGACACGCTTAAAGGCCATCACTGTTTTAGCTTCACCAACCCCATTTAGTTGTTCTCTCTATTAATTATCAGACCAACCAAATGAATTATTCCCGTATTTATAAAACAAAACAAAAATAAAAACAATAAATCTATTTCAAAATAAAAAGGTTTAGACAAGAAAAAAGTCGCCAAATCCGCCGGCGGGAGAAAAATTCCGGTGAACCATTCTTCTTGATTCTGCAGGTGGTTTTCTTAAATTAAGTTTCTTACCGCTAATTTAATTCTGATTTGTTTATATGTTTTTTCTGTCAGGAAAGTGTCAATTTTTAATATTCCTTACCCTTTCACGGTTTAATTTGTTTTGGATAATCATTCTCTTTTTTTTTTCTGGAAAGTTCGAATTTTTTTTGTTTGGAAGCTTGGATAAAAATATTATAGTCTCATTGAATGATCATTCTTTTTGTTGTTGTTGATTTACTATGCTTTTACAAATCCTCATTTGATCGATTCTGTCAAAGAATTGGGTCAATTTTGAAAAGAAAAAAAATCTGAACTTTGAGAAAAGTTATTGAGTTTCGGTTTCTGTCGGTCAGGGTTTGTGATTGTGGCTGATGGGTAGACAACAAATTAGGTAGGGTTTTGTTATATTGATGTCCATAGTCCTTAATTGTGGCCAAATTCTTGTCTTTTAGGTTTTGGCTGAATCTTGTTGAAATTTCTTTTGCAGGGGTTTTGAATATTTTTGTGTATTGAAGATTGTCTGAAATGGAAGCAGCTATTGCTCAGAGGATTCAGTACCCATCATGGGTTGATTGGAGAGAGTTTGAGGGGAAGTCGCTGCGTGGTTCATTGCGGTATTCTCAGCGAGTGAAGGAAGAGAAAAGGTTTAGAGGGCTTGCTTTGGCTCATTTGCAACCTGAAAGAAGAAAAAGATCAGTTTCTTCAGAGGTTTTATGTTCTGATAACAACTCTTCAGGTGGTTGTGAAATCATTTGGATGTTTTGATGCCTATGATATAACTCAATCTGAAATGCTATAGCTGCGAGTGTCTCATTTGATCTTTGATTTTTGTAGCGTTGTTGGAGGCCGGAAGTGTTTATCCGTTTGATGAAGATCTAATTCTCAAGGCAAGTAATAATACCCTTTTATAACATCAAGCTATCATATCAGCTTATAAAAGCTTACTAGGCAATAAATACATGAGCTTTGCAGAGAAAAGCAGAAGAGGTTAAACCGTTTTTGAATGGTCGATCTATGTACCTTGTTGGTTAGTTTCTTTGTCTGCATCTTTGTTTGCATACAGTTACTTCTTAATACATGTAATTTGATGACTCTGTGGTGAATACAGGAATGATGGGTTCTGGGAAAACGACCGTGGGAAAGTTAATGTCCAAAGTGCTCGGTTATTCCTTCTTTGACTGGTATGTATATGCTACTGAAGAAAAGCCTTTATATGTTTTAAAGCCTTAATGGAAGTCTCCTGGAAAATTTGTTCTTTGATTTGGAGTTAGTAATGAATGTGGTTTGATATTCTCGGTTTGTAACCTTCTATAAGTTTTTGGATGTGGCAGCGACTCTTTGATTGAACAGGCGATGAATGGAACTTCTGTTGCAGAGATATTTGTGCATCATGGAGAGAATTTTTTTAGAGGAAAGGAGGTTATTTTTGTGATCCTTGTTTCAAGCTCTTCTTCTTCGTCTACTCTTTGTTTAGTGCGATTCATTGTACATATTTCAAGCTAAGTTTCTTTCTTTCTAGACTGATGCGCTTAAGAAGCTCTCTTCGATGTATCAAGTTGTTGTTTCCACCGGTGGAGGTGCAGTTATACGACCCATTAACTGGTGTGTTCCCTTCATCCTGTTCAAATTATAATGATATAAAAACTCAGTTGCTTGTTAAACTTATTTGGTAATCTGATGATATTATCAGGAAATATATGCATAAAGGAATCAGCATTTGGCTAGATGTGCCTCTAGAAGCCTTAGCCCATAGAATCGCTGCTGTTGGAACTGGTTCACGACCACTGTTACACGATGAATCAGGAGATGCATACTCAGTGGTACTGATCTGACTGTTCTACAATCATACGCCTTGGATACTTAAACAAAAAAATCATCTTTTTCGTGTTTGTGATTGTGATTGTGAATGAATACTCGTAGGCTTTCAAACGTCTCTCGACTATTTGGGATGAGCGCGGTGAAGCATACGCAAATGCAAATGCCAGAGTCTCCTTGGAAAGTATGTCTTCTTCATCCATCTGATATAGCCTTTGTTCAATCTGTGTAACTTCTTCTGGTAATTTTGCTTTCCTTCCTTGTACTCGAATCATCAGATATTGCAGCCAAGCGTGGCTATAAAGATGTCTCAGATCTCACACCAACTGAAATCGCTATCGAGGTAAGTCAGGTTCTTTCTCTTTTACTTCATCATTAATATGTTCAAATCACACTCAACAAAGCAAATCACTCATCATCAGGCCTTTGAGCAAGTTCTGAGCTTTCTAGAGAAAGAAGAAACTATGGAGATCCCAGACGGCGACCTCTAATTTCCCCGCCTCCACTTCTGTCTCTTCATTTATATGTTCAATCAACTCAATGAAGCAATTACTCATCACCAGGCCATTGAGCAAGTTCAGAGACAAAGAAAGTCCTCTAGTTACTGGTTCTGGGTCAATGGAGCTTACACGAGCCAATTTTGACTGGATCAATGCTTTATTAGAAGAAGATACAATACATGTATATAATACTTATAATAATACTCTTTGTTTCAGTATCATTCTTCTTCTCTTTTCCTTGAACAAAAAGAAAAAGTAGCAGTATTCGTTTTGTTAAGATGAGCCAGGAACAAGCAATGTGTACGAACACAATTTTACTGGTATTATTCAAATCTGAAAGTAGCTTTCTTATGAATTTAACAAAAGAAATGGACAGAAGAAGTTGATTTAACCCTCAAAAGGTACAGAAGCAAATCTATAACCATCATTACACCGGCGATTTGTTTCATCTTGGCTCAGGGCCTCAGGCCAAGCTATACCCTTTGTCGATCCACCATTTCTGGCAACACCGTCTAAATCACTATGTGCACAATGACAGTTACTCACAGACAAACATAACAGAACCAATCGCCCTGAATCAAAAGCAGATCAGCGTGTAGCATGGATGATGATACATTAGACATCTATCACCATCAAACTGTAGCTGCCAAGCAATTCACAATGGCAGATTCATTAGGAACCGTAAGCACGGTACCAGACCACACGATTTTCCCCCAAATATCCCCTTCTCCACGCCTTTCAACATCAATCTCCGCACACCAAATCTCCATTCTCCTAGAACCGCCACTACCAGCTTTACCTTCCCACAAAACCGCAAGCTTTCCACCACGATTCGCCATAGTAGCCCCACAAAGAAACTTTGGAAGTGATTCCACACCTTTCAGCTCTTTCCAAATCCTCTCTTTTGGATCATAGCCTCTAATCTTCCCCAAGTAATCATAACAATACAATATGTTGTCAATCACACAAGCTCTTCCTCTCCATCCCAAATCAAGCCTCTTCTCAGGCATATCCCATTTCTTTTCCTTGGGCTCGTAAACAACACCGTTTCGATCAGCCATTGCGTAAACCTTCCCTTCCATAACCGCACTTGCGTGCATCCATTTCTCACGCACCTCCATGCCTGGACTAGCCACTGGCTCCCAAGTTTGAGTCTTTATATCAAACATCTCTGCCCAATTAATCGATCGGGCCCAATTATCAACCACACATCCTCCAATCACATAAATCTTCCCATCGATTACACCAGCTGCTGCAAATTCACGACCTACTCTCATATTAGAGACTCGTCGCCAAGTATGAAATCTGCAATCGAGAACCCAGACGCTCGAAGAAGGCACGTCTCTGATAGATCCACCGATCACGTAAATATCTGAATCTACCACAACGTAAGCAGATCCAACAAGAGACGGTGAAGGACAAGACGGGATTGGAACAAGCATTTTCGAATTCGTTGAGCTCGATAAGGTTCGATGGAGAAGAGTGAACCAACACGCACCAGATTCAGGAGGTAAACGAATTGCGACGTAGAGGATGTTTTCAGTGGCGCCGACGAGAGATCTCGTGGCGTAGAGCAAAGGCGATGTTGGGAGAGATCGGAAAGTCTTGGAGACGAGAGAGAGGATCGGATGGTGACATCTTGAGACGCGAGCAAGGCAATTCAGAGCAACGTCGTCTGATAATAATGGAATCAATTGCGCCGCCGATTTCGTTTCCGGTGGTTCGTCGCCGGAGCTCGTTGTAGCCGCCATGTAACAGATTTGATCAGTCTTATTATCTTCTCAATTTTAAATAAGAGAGAAAATGATTTTGCATTATTCGGTTCGGTTCGGTTCGATAAAAACCAATCCGAGCCGAGAAAATTAATTTGGAATCTAAACCGGGTTTAAACCGATATAATTGTGCCGTTATCTAAAAATGCTGACGTGGCAGAAAGCATGATCCGGTGGTTTGAAAGAAGCCACGCGCTTTCTCGTCTTCCCTTCGTCCGACGATTGCAATTGGGAGAAGAAGAAGAAGACGATGAAGCATTATCTGATTCTGGGTTTGTTTAAAATCGAATTTTTCTTGAGAATTTTTTGAAGAAGTATGATTGCATTAACTGTTTCTTCGTTGGGGAATACTCCGATTGCTTCGTTTAACCGGCGTTTCAGATTCCGGTTACATCCACGAAACCTTCCGATACTAGCAGCGGTTTCTCCTTCTTCATCCTCTTCTTCTTCTCCTACTGCTTCTTCTGGGTTTGATTTGAGTTCTCTCGAATCCGCCATTAACAAGGTCAATTCTTGTTCACAACCTTTACTTTTTAATTAGATGAACTTTGCTTAAAGTGGGTTCATTTGTTATCGCAGAAAGATAGTAATGGTGTTAAGGAAGCTCTAGATAAATTGAGTGAAGAAGGTTGGGCTAAGAAATGGAGTTCCCAGCCGTATCTTTCGCGCCGTACGGTGTATATCGATCTCTCTATCTAAGCTTATCCTTACCATTTGTTAAACGCTTAGTGAGTGACAGTGAAGAAGTGATGTGTCTTTTTGTATCAGACATCGCTTCGGGAGCTGACAACTCTCGGAATCAAGAATGCAGAGACTCTTGCCATCCCTAGTGTCAGGAACGATGTAAGGTTCTGTCTTGTTATTAGAATGCTGAACTCAAGAGAGTTCTTGAGGTTTACATTGTATGTTAATGGAGGCTCTTCTGAATTCTGATTTAGTTGAGTAATGCAGGCGGCTTTTCTTTTCACAGTAGTAGGAACAACGGGGTTCATAGCTGTACTTGCCGGCCAACTTCCCGGGGTAAACTCTAAATACTCAATTTTCTCTGGTGTTATAGGCCATGAAAAATCTTTGGCCTTTTCTCATTGATTTCTAGTTGTCTGTTCTTTCTTCTAGACAATTGTGTAGGCTAGACCAAGAACTACATCCTATAGAGCGTGTATACCATGTCGAAAACCATGGAAATATCTCGGTTTCTGTCGATTGTGTTAGGTTCTATATGTATCTTAGACTGATGAATAACTGTTGAATCTGGACAGGACTGGGGATTCTTTGTGCCTTACTTAGTTGGGAGCATTTCGTTGGTAGTTTTAGCTGTGGGAAGCGTTTCACCAGGGTAAGAAAGTAACTTAAACACTGCGTATTTTGTTTAGTTTTCGTTAGCTTAATGTAGTCTGGGATACAGATTTATTTTCTGCTGTTTTGTTCGTAGGCTTCTTCAAGCTGCGATTTCCGGGTTTTCTACGTTCTTCCCTGATTATCAAGAAAGAATTGCTGCACATGAAGCAGCCCACTTCTTAGGTACTCTTGAAAAATTTAAACCTTTTAGTTCTAAAGGTTCAATGTTCTGATTCTGTTTTAAAACTTCCAGTGGCTTACTTAATCGGACTTCCAATCCTTGGGTATTCGTTAGACATCGGTAAAGAACACGTCAATCTCATCGACGAGAGACTAGCTAAACTAATATACAGCGGCAAGCTTGACTCAAAGGAGCTAGATAGGTAGAGTTTCTTTAATGTCGAAAAGGAGAAAAGAAGAATCAAAATCTCAACCCATTGAATCATCTTTGGTTTCTCAGGTTGGCTGCTGTTGCAATGGCTGGACTTGCCGCCGAGGGTCTGAAGTATGACAAAGTGATCGGCCAATCTGCAGATCTCTTCTCTCTTCAGGTCCTTCCTATCCATCACTCAACTCAACACTCACAAGTTCACAAACCAATAAGTTACAACAGCTTATTTTTCTTTGATTTCCTGCAGAGATTCATAAACAGAAGCCAACCCAAAATAAGCAACGAGCAGCAGCAAAATCTAACAAGATGGGCTGTAAGTTTCTCTTGTCGTCTCTCATTAACATGTTTCCTTCTTAAGTATTCATGAATATTTGTTATTTGTTATGCAGGTTCTCTACTCTGCTTCTCTTCTCAAAAACAACAAGACCATCCATGAAGCTCTAATGGCTGCAATGTCCAAAAATGCATCTGTTCTTGAATGCATTCAAACCATCGAGACAGCTTCCTAGATAAACAATCTCTGTTATCTCTTTTGATCGATCGAATTCCTTCACATGAAATTCCATATCTTTTATATATATAAAGACACAAAAAGTTACAGACTTTCAATATCATCATCTTCAAGCACTATGAAGAAGATCAAAACTATAGTACTACTATAATATAAACGATGTAATTATACATTTAAAGTGGTATTTATGGTTGACGAACTTAAAGATCATCAGACCAATCACTTGGCTTGGTGTCATAGAACAACCCATCAACGATCTGATCAACCAAAGAGTCAATAAACGAGTTGCAGCTCACTGTAAAAATCCGGCCAACTCGGTTCCGAGAAATCGTTAACCACGCGAATATCGCCGCGCATCCCATCGCGGCGAGACCAGCTCCAATAGCTTCACTTAATCCTTCCACATCAAGTTTCTTAAACAACGAATTCCCCGTAACAACCTCCTCCGTCACCGTCGCCGCAAACACAATCTGAAAAGAGTAAATTCACATATTAAACCGCGAGATCGAAGATCGAAGTTCGAATTTAGGGTTTATGGTTTATTTACCATGGCGAGTCTTCCAGAGATGGTTTCAAAGTCTTGACTCTTCTTCGAACTCTCTATGTAATCAGTAAGCGTCTCAAAAAACGGAGACGATGATAGCTCAACCTCAGATCCTCCTCCACCATCTCCGCCGTCTCTTTTAGCGATGACCATATCAGATCCATAAGATCTCAGCGTGCAAAGTCTCGGCTGAAGCACGATCTTCCCTTTCTCGGCTAAATCGCCACCTCTTGGTCGTTGCTGTATCTGAATCTGCTTGATTGGTTCCGATGATTCGCATCTAGGAGATAAAGATCTCGGTGACGGTAACTGGCAACGAATCGCGCGTGTAGCCATAGCCATTTCTGATGATCCGAGGAATCTTTTGAGGAAAGTGAGTATTTGAGGGGGAAAACAAAAAGAGGAATCTTCATGGTGGCTGAAGAGTACACGTCGTGTCGTTTTTTGTGAGGTGTCAAGATATTGTTCGACGTGGCTCCGTTTTGCTTCAGTAACTTGCTTTTCAATCGGAAAAATACTTGTTTAGAATTTTAGAAAATACGTTTGAACTACGTGTCGTTTTGCTTTTATCTATTCGAAGCTGAATGAACCAGATTCATTTTAGACCCAACTATTTGACTCTTCTTCTTTTTATTGATGTTTATAGGTTTAGGTCGGTATATTTCGGATAAAATGCCAAATAAGAATAATGGATATGGATAATGAATATTTGGGATACATAAAATACCTACTGAATGAGAGAAATAAGAACTGAAAAATGTTTTTTTTTTTTTTTTTTTTTTTTTTGACTTTGGATCGACAAGGCCCGATCCATAGCCAATCCCTACTATGCGGAGTAACGCGACTTAGTGGAGTCGAACTCCGGTGGAGAAGGCGGAGTCAAATGGACTTAACCACTTGACTAAAAGCACATCCCCAAGAACTGAAAAATGTTAAAAACAAGAATTTCAAAATATTCGAAAGGAGAAACATGCATTTCCTTATAGTATACTCCAAAAATAATAATTTTAGGTTTTATATCAATCACTCAAGAGCTGATTGTAATACTTCTTCTAGATGCTTTTCCGTGGCTTCAAATTGTATTTTCTTCTCTTCGATTGCTAGTGCAGTAAGAGCTTTATCAGGAGGCAAGTCCTGCCGTCCTGGTAGCTTCTAAGAGCATCAAGAACGGGCTTAAGATCATCTTCTCCAATTCCTTTAAGTGCTCTGCCATTTCTACCAACTCCTTGTGGCTGATCTTAGAAATGTCGATTAACCTATCACATGCATAATCCTGACGTTCCGACCGACCATTCATTCTCAGACTTATTATACTTCTTTATGTAATTTTCCTCCTTGATTGCCATTACTTCCATATTTGTTTTCCAAATTTCCATGCGTGATTCACAAGGGACTACTACATCATCTTCTAGCTGTGCAAGGATTTTATTTAAATACGTCATCTTTTGTATCGCTTTTCTTGTATAATCAAGAAGAACATTGGACTCCATTTTCGCCTTAGCTCTCTTCTCCTACACTCCAGTCTTCCTTAGAGAAATGTCTCCCATTGCAATAAGGAAACTGCTTAGTTCAGTGTCCCTTATGTTTACGATAGTTCTAGTAAACTCAATAATTAGAGATCCTTCTTTTCTCTTTTGTAATATATAATTTTTTTTCATGTTTTACTAACATTTTCTTGTTTACGGCGTCGGCAATTCTCAATTATATAAACTATAACCTAAATCTAAAAGTCTGGCCGATTCTAACAGAAAAAAAAAATCAAACGTGAATTAGTTTGCATGTATCAACCTGAAACACTTTTTTTATATAAATCATCCTAAAGAACAATATTACCTCCAAATCCGTCCTCATATACCTCACCACCAAAAGGACCCATGCATATACACACATATCATCATGATCATATAATCACAAATCAATCCTTAAACCGCTATCAATCAACAACGCATATCTCCTCCGACCATATATTACATCAAATCATACTCTTACGAAGAAGATACTAAGTTCGGGTCCATTATTTCCTTCGGGACTCAACATGTAAAATGTCTCTGAATCTTTAGACCCAACGACTCGTTCGAAATAAGCCCTCATGTAAGCCATCTCCGAGTCAGGTCCTTCAACCTCCGAGTTCCCCGGCAAAACTCCGGCACCCATCGAAACTGGTCTTAACAACTCCATAACGTTGAGATCTTCCTCCGTCGCGTCACGTTTCACACCGTACCCCGTTTTCTTACCGTTACAAAACATTGTCCATAATGGCTCGTCCATGATCTTGGTCTTCTCTTTATCACCTCGTTTCTCTGTCTCTAACGCGATCCTAACCATCCCTCCGCTAAGTTCTTTTTGTAGCACCATTGTTTGCATCGCAAGCTCGACGACGAGAGATGGTAAACATCTAGGGCTTTCTTGAATCGAGAGGCTTACACGGCCTTTACGGTATCCGAACAAGGTTCCCGTAACTCTTGATCCGCTTGATCCGCTTCGATGAGGGTCGGGTAAGCTACCGCCTGGGAGGACCGGGATTTTGCAAGCTGCCGGTGTGATGATCGGGAAAGAACGGAAAACCGAACGAAAAACTCGGAAGACTTTTTTGCTTTTCTTCTTGTTTTGATGAGATGGTTCGAGTAACGTGACATGGTGACGTGGCGCCGGAGATGGAGACGGTGAGGGAGACCCCGAAGGGATTGAATATGAGTCGGTGGAGGAGGAAGCACCGCTTGCCCTTGGCCTTTGCTCCCCCATTAAAGACGGAGACGTCGACGAGGATACGACGACGTTTTTACGGAAAAACTTCTTTCTATTTTAAAGAGGTTAATTAATGTACTGTGTCTTTTAATTTGTTGGCCTTTTCTTTTGCCTTTCACACACCTTTGAGTTTTTAGGATTTCTAATTTTGTTTTTTTTGTTAGAAATTGGAATGGTTTTGGAAAAAGGTCTAAATTTTTGTGTTCACATTGTGGTTATAGTTTATATATAGTTGTTGTTTTTATTTTGAAGTGTAATCAGCCAGCTCTATGCTCTATTTTTAAGAGTAGGAAACAAAGCTGTATATTTCAAAACATGTGAAAACAAATCAAACGAGTTTCCAAAAATAGAGAGATATACATAAAGTTGTATAGTCGTTTGGTCAGGTCAATGTACAATAGTAATCGCCTGTAAAATCTCATGATATCTAAGTCCAACTTGGTGTATAGTGGATCTTGTAAGCTTGTAACAATAATTTAACCAAAACACGGTTAATTAATTCAAATAAAATAAACATCAAAATTTGAGTTGATCTGTTTCTTATTCTAAACTTCTGATGCTGATTTAATCAACTAAAATATGTATGGTGTAAATGTTGGGAGATTTATATGATTAATCAAATTTAGCATATATACTATTGATACAGAGTACGATGAAGTCTTGCATTGCATGTATAGTAATTCTTGACAAAAAGAGTTATAAATATACTATTCTTTCAATCTTTCTTGCTAAAGAAAAGAGTAATAAATATTATCTACGCTTATGTATGACTTTTTTTTTTTTTTTTTTTTTTTTTTTTTTTTTTAACTTTAATATATTAAAACTGGGCCTTCCCAACTGGGCTTGACCTTGAATTTTACAATAGAATTCAGATACAAAAAAGAATACTCATAAAATCGGCCCAGAACTAGTAGTCGGATCTCATCCTGCTGACAGACCGAAATCAGAAACTCCGAGCAACATACACGGCGGAAACAGGATCCACGACTTTGCAATTGAACCCCAGAAACGGAAAACAGGGAGGGAAGTTTCCGGACTCCCGTCCCGTTGCCATTCCGGCGAACCACCAGTCCCATTACAGATCCTCCGAATTGCGGCTCCACGATGTCGGATCCCATGCCAAGCAATCCAACATGCCCAGATGTAACCCCGACTTCCAATTCTGGCGATCTCAGACTCTTCCGAGCTAGGGTTTACACGAAGTCCAGTCCCAGGAAGCAATAACGTGCCAGTTCCGGACTCCCGTCCCGCTTATGTATGACTTGACAATCGATATGTTTGCGTGTGTACGTGAACAAGTTCCAAGATTGGATGAAATTTATTAATCTGGCGACAAACATTTTTTTTTTTTTTTTTTTTGGTAAAATACAAACATAACATATACTACTACGAAGGAAACATATATAAAAGTTACAACAAATTCATGAGAAAATATTTCTCTATCCGTTTAGGAAAAAAGTTAATTTATGCAATCTCAATTTAGTTTGTTTTCATTTTAGAATGTGGTGGAGTTTCAATTCTCTTAACACTGCATCATCTTTCGCATCAAACTGATTAATTAGTGAATACCGATGAATTTGGTACTAGGGATAGTAAAAGACAAGTGAATGGAGACAAGAGCGATACTTATAAAACCAATTAACATTAATTTAATAGTTGTAAGTTGTAACGTTAATTTTCTAACTTCAAATAAATTAGAATATAAGACGTCCATGAAAAAGTATATAATTAACAAAAGAAGACAAAATAAAAGGCTGAGAGAATAATAAATACACACATATTATTTGTTTTTTCATAAGAATGGACTCTCTAATGCAAATGGAACACTGGTCCAAAGAGGTAGAGAGAAAGACATAAATAAAATTCCATAAGCAAAGTTATGAAGAGCAAGAAACCAAAACTATATGCGTTCGCCAACACATCTTATTCAGGTCAACCCAACTATGAATTTAATCTAACTAAATATATTCAGTAATATCTTTAGAATCCACCGCCTACCTCAGTTTTCGTTTGATCTGATAATTTTTAAAACATTTCAGCCAAACATATCACTAAATTAGTTATTTTGCTATTGTTTTTCCTTATTTTTGTTTCTTCTGCAAATGGTTCAAATTGCAATGAACGGAATCAATATTGTTATCTTGATTGTTTACGCAATTTAATTACTCCCTCTATTCCTTATTAATCAATTTCTTAGAACAAAAATTTCTTCAAAAAAATGGATATTTTAAGTTATCTATGCATTTTTATTAAGTATCAATGATGAATTATAAATTTCAAAAAAATAATAATTAAATATTATTGGTTTAGAGTTATAGAAAATTGTAAATCACAAAAAAAAAATGCATTTATAATCAAAATAGATTAATTAGAAACAGAGGGAGTAATTGATTTGGCATGCACCTTACTTGTTTAATCTTTAATTAAAAAATGTAGAAAATTCTGAATACATTTTGTTTTTACTTTCTTTAAAAGGGTATTAAATGCAAGGTAGGGTGTGTGTGTAAGAACACAGAGAAGCAGGTGAGGTCAAACTAGACACGACACTTAATGCATTGAGCAGAAGAAGAAGAGGAAGAATTAAGAAGAGAAAGAAAACAAAAAATAAGGATGGAAGTTAAAGGAGAAGAAGAGAGAAGAAGTAGAAGAGAAGATGAAGAAAAAGAAGATTACTACTCTCTTCTCAACTCTCCATGTTCTGCTTGTCACAAAGTTGTTCAAGCCATATTGAAGTGTCTTGGTCTTGAGTCATCATCAATACCACCACCATCATCCTCATCTTCATCATCATCATCACCATCATTAGTAGAAGAAGAAGAAGATCCAGGAACTGAAACTGTAAGCTCTCTAATCTCTATGGAAATTTTTTGGTCAGCTCATTTTTGTTCCCTTATAATAGTAACATTAAACGGGATTAGCGAGCCAATCCGGAGGTAAATCAAAGATAAATCAGCTTGAGAATTACAACGTTTAGGAATTAAACGTGGAGAAAAAGAAGTTACCTTAGGAAGCTAGGCATAATTAGTTAAACACTATATGAATTTGATTTTTTTTTTTCTCTCGCTCTTTTTTGGTCAAACACACACTTAAACTAAAAAGGTGTCTCCTTAAACTGGATTTGATGGTAGAAGTCATAGTAATATCTTGCATTAAACGTCGTATAGGTTGAAGAAACAGGATTTATTGCGAGGATTACAGGAGTGTTAAGAAGGAGACCAAGACCACCTTATAGCTCAGGACGACCTGGTCAAAACAATTGATTCTGACTAACACTCTTAAAAAGACAAGCTTATGTCTCTTTGTGTGTCTTCTTGTTGTTTAAAACTCACTTGTGATCTTAAAATTTCTTTACTTCCATTTTTTTTTGGTTCTGTCAGCGGTTTTGCTTTTTTTTTTTTTTTTCTTTCTTACATGCTTTATTTATCTGAAATAAGACAAAATTGGTAAGACTCTTTTGTAACATTTTTTTTTTTTTTTGTCGGCCTCTTTTGTAACATAGATTTCATGTTTACCTTCTAAAATACATGATTATAAATTGATTATAGATTTATGTTTACCTTCTAAAAGATTATATCTTTTGTTGTTATTTTAGTTTTAAAGATAATATATATCGGATACTCTTCTGTTATTTATTATCTGCTTTTGTTAATAATCAATTTTAATTAAACTGTAACTGTCTCAGATTCTTCAAAATTTGAAAGTAGAACCGAACCGAATTACCAAACCGGATCACAGTTTTACCAGTTCAACCAAAAAAACAAGAAAGCCACCGAAACATAAGAGCCTTTAAATCATTTCCATTTCATTCTCATATATACAAGAAAAAAAGAGGGGCCTAGAACCACAAGACCAGGTCCTACAAAATTATCACAGACCTTTGTTTTTCATTTTGTTTCTTATTTATCCTATAAAAATCTATAATCCTTCTTCCTTTGCTCCCCACCCTAAAGATCTTTCCTTCAGTGTGTCTACTACATTAACAAACCGCAACTAACCCGAGCTTCAGGTGCTTCTTTTGTGATCATCATCGTCTTCTACTTCTTTGTCTCTTATAACGTCTATCACCGTAGCATTGCAGAAAAAACATCTCTGACAATTGAGAAGATGTCTAGTTATGCAGCCATAACATGATCGATGTGAACATGGAGCAATCATTGCATTAGCCTCCCCCGCATAGCAGATGCAGCAAGTGTTGTCTTCTATATCCGTCGTGTCTTTGTTGAACAGCTCTTCTTTTCTTTCGGGTTCTTGCGATGAAGCCCGGTTTATGAGATTGTTCAAGAAGTTCTCAAGTTGTCCAAGTTTCTTTACATACGCATCATCCCCGCTTACACAACCGTCCTGAAAATGTTTTTTTAAAGCTGTGTCAGTAAAAGAAGCAAAAGAGCAAAAACTAGATTTAAGAGCTTACGTACCCAATTATATTCCAAGAGATATTGAAACCCGAAATAGACTGTATCGGGACAGTCCATGCTTGCGAAAAGACCAATTACATCATGTTGCTTCGGTTTTGAGTCTTCACTAGCCTCCAAGAGATTCAAGATTATACCAACCAAAGGAGCTAATAAGACCCCTCGGCTAACTTTCTCTGAAGGTTGTCCCTGCCGTCTAAGTGACCTGACCGAGCTCAAAACAAGAAGAAAACAAGAATCAATTAAAAATGAGCGATTTTCCAACCGTGTTAGAGCTATTTGGGGTATTTTAATGAGCTTACAGATCAAAGAACTCGTCATCTACTGCTGAGGTCATGTGATTCAAGATAAAAAGAATCAACTCAGTGAGCCTACGAAGATTCGTGTCAGTCCCAGCAAGAAATGCTTGTGGTATTGCGTAAGTGCAGAACTCTAAGACTCTTGCGAGATTGCTTGAAAGCTCAAATATCACACAACATTTCCTTTGCTGAAACTCCATTACCTGCATGAAGACAAGATGAATTAAAAACCGGTCAAAGAAAAGCATATAGAAGACTATATATACTTGCAAGGGTATTGCAGATTAAGCAACACGATCATTCAGAGAGAACTTAATCAATTACTATCTGACCTGATACTTTTCTTGCATTTCTCGCACCGAGACAGAAAATTCAGTAATGGTCCAGCTCAGTGTGTTGAATAGCCGGTTAAGAAAAGTAGAGAGTAATTCACCATCATTAATACAAGCATCTCGTAGAAGCGCCTAAACAAAAAAAGAAAATCAATGTAGGCTGAGGATCAAATAGGAACAAAGTTACATCAATCTAACCAACCTGGAAAACAGTAGATGAAACCGAAGACTCCCCATTCTTTAAAGAACTAAAGCCAGAACCTTTGCAAAGACGAAGAAATATATTTGTGACAGGGATCCAAGATCTGTTGTCAAACGCTGCCAGTAGTGCTGCAGGCATGTGTTTAGTAGCTGCCTCATTGTTCTCGAAAGCTTCCAAGTACTCTTTGTACTGTACCAGGACAGATATTGACTGGAGAAGTAGATCTTTAAGATCTGTATTCGATATCCTTGAATCGTTGAAGTGTGTAACTACGAAAGTGATCTGGAAACCCAACAATTTGCAATGACCATGTTAGAGCTGTTGTGTAACTGACCTAAAGCTAATCACCTACACTCAGCCATGAGGGGAAAAAACAGACAAAAAAGATGGTGTGATAAGAGATTTAGTCATACAAATGATGAAAGTCCTTGTTTGATAAATGTTGTTGACGGGACAAACGGAGGATCGCTCTTGCGAAGCACATGGAAACAGTCTACCTGAGGAAAATATCAAAGAGATTGTAAACTTAAGTATTTCACTGAAAACCAGAGATAATGCAACAGAATAAGTTGGTTGGAAGATCTACTAGCTTTGACCAAAGAGAAACTGAAACATGTTCATTTCTATCAAGAAGTACCGGAAATGGGCAAAAGCTATTTACCAAAGATTCAACGTAGAACTCTGGAATATAAACAAACACAGAATCCATTTTGCTGAGAACCAGAAGTAGCTGTACAACCCACATGCATAATGCGTACATTCCTCTTTGCTTCCATCGAGAGAACAATGAGATGCGGAACCTGCACAAAATGATTCAGAATGAGCAAAGGCAAAAATATAGAGATATAAGCATTGTAACATTGCTTCACATGAATCATAATTAAAACCTCTTCACTACACCCTCCTTTTGGAGTTAACGCAATCCATGAGTTAATTGAAACTTACCATGCGGAATGTCTAACACACTCCATCACGTCTTCCTTGTAGTTGTTGCGAGCTTCCTTCAAGCGCTTTAATTGGTCACTAGAAGCCCGCTCTCTTATCTGTTTATCAGTTTCTTCAAGAAGTGATATTGATTGCGTTTGGTGAGACATGTAATATGATGCCTAAGAAAAGCAGAAGGACAACCTATCAGCCTCTCAAGCTTATTCAGGCTGCGGCATGTATCGTACAAAACATACAACAAAATATAAACAAGACTGGAAAAAAAAAATATACATTACCTGCTTAAAATTTGGAGCAACAGCAATATGGTATAATAGCAATAGAGCATCCAATAGTTCTTCTTCGCTTAGTATAGCAGATGAGATTCTACTCTCTTGAAGTGCAGTCCGCATAAATCTTACTGGACGATAACCAAAGTCAGGGTCAGACTGATTACTTGTGCTAGGTTTGTCCTCTATTTCTTCACTGAAACTTCCAGCACTACATTCTGCAGCAACATGAGAGGAACTCTCAGGAATGGAACTGCATCGACCACAAGAGCTTTGAGCAGTATTTTTTCCTCGATCTTTCAAGGATTTAGTAAGATCGGTATCATAAGCTAAGCAACAGCATGGCTTCTGCTCAGTCGCGTGAGTTACTCTATTCTGTTCATCATCCATACAACCTTCTTCCCACCGCATTATTTCTTCTTCTTGATCATCTGTGGGGTAGGACTTTGATATATGACTAAATAGCCCACCAAGCCTAGTGATATCAGCTCTATGTGGATCATTTTTAAGAAACAAACTCAATGGAAACTTCTGCTGTCCACCTCTGTGAAGAAAACCAACATTGTGATGGACGGCTTCACTACTCTTCAGCATTGCGAAACCTTCTGACAAAAAATGGAGTACAACTGAGAACAGAGAGACAAGAACTGAATTGCGTGTAACTCCAGAAGGGGCCAGAGTCCTATCTGCGCCTCTGTTCTTCAATAAGAGGTTCTGTAGGAATCCGCGGAACGCTGAACCAGGAAGCTGGGGAGGTGATACAGGTGGTATGAATTGTATGACCAAGAGACAGAGGTTCCTCTGCTTCTCCTCAATCTGAATTCCAAAAGAAAGAATTAATTAATTATGTTCCAATAATATCTTATTCCAGACAACTATATCCAGAGGAGAGTTATGCAAGCGGTTATTTATAGCAAAAGGAAATCAGTCAGAAATATCATATCATACCTTGTTAATGGCTTCAGAGAGAGCGGAGATCGTAAATCCCATGCTACTCTCGTGGGATATATCTTCAGAGGATCCAGGCCACCAAACAACAGGCATTAACTGCTGTAAGTCATGCTTGTTGGAACTCCTACATGACAAGAAACCTTCAAACAAAAACTCGAAATGCAAAGATCTCCACCATTGTACCATCAATTCTTCCCGTTTTAACAAATGACAAGCCAGCGCAAGATAGGGATAAGGTCCGGAGTATGGACATTCGGTTAGAATCAGTGTCGCTGTTTTGCAGCCACAAGCCAGAGCGTTTACTACATGCTCAAAGATCAAATGAGATTGTGGGAACTCAAGAAGCACATCAAGAACTTTGTCTAAACTTGACGAATCATGCGGTGCTTGGGATCTGAAAATCTCCAAGAGGAATGACAGAAATGCACCCCGTCCCAAGTACTCAGGCAACAAAGGGTCTTGTTCAAGTATGTAAAAGAACTCATCACATATAGCAGAGGAAACAGGGGAAAAGAGTTCTTCAACCGAGGCAAATCTCCTCAGTCGACTTAATGTATCAGCCAACGAGCGGTCTGGCCTATCCAGCAGTCTTGAGAAGCATCGTAGTAGCTCTGTTGCAAAAGAAAATCGAGGTGGAGCTTCTTGAAGAGGTTGGAAGCCTTCAACCGGGTACTTAAACGGGTAAGCGCCGAAATTTAACTCGCATCTCTCACCTTGGGAGAGAGATATAGCAGGGTAATACCCAAATCCAGGTCCAAGTTTTCTAATACCAGTAAATGCAGCACCGAGGGAGACACCATTCCTGTAGAAGTATATCTCATCACAGTTCAAATCTATGCAGCAACCGATGACATCCCCAGCTACCCATGATTGACCATAAGGTTCAGCTTCCTTGTTCCACTTGCTTACCCTTCGACCATCAAAAGCATATGAATCATCAGCATCACCCACACCTTTCTGGTCAGTGAAAGGACAAGCAAGTGTTGCCCATCCAAGTTGTTGAATTCCCGAGGTCTCTAAAGCGACTTCATACATCCATTTTCCTTTCCAAATACAAGCATTAGCCCTGGCGCTACTGAATAGTGCTAAGCTCTCCAACACAAGAGGTGGCTTCACAATCCTGATATCACCACATAAGCTATACTCTTCAAGGCCAACAACAGGAGGTCCAACACCATGATGAACTACACTGATTCCTTCTCTCTGACTAACTGAAACATCCAATTCACCATGAAGCTTCGAAAACTGATTCTTAATCACGGCTCTAATCAAGCTAATGTCTACTTGACCATCCAATGGACCAACAGACTTTTCTGCTAGACCAAATATAAATTCGATAGTCCGTTCTAAAGGCCGGTGACCAGAATAATCAAAATGTGGAACAATACGAGCTTTCGACGAATTCTCTTTAGCATCTTCACCATTCAGTAAAACAGCCAAACCAGATGAAATCATACCAACCCGTAGGCTGTCTTCAGCCATATGGCATTGATTGTGAATCAAACACGTAAATGATCAATTACAAGAGAACCAAAGTCTGAATCTTCATCAAGAACTCATCAGACACGATTCGAAAATGATTGAGAAAAGCTGTGAAGAGAAGAAGAAGAACAAAAAAAAGTAGCATAAGTTTCCAAAAATCAATACTTGAATCAAAAAGCTTTCAAATTTTTGTTACCATAAATGGTGGATGATGAACAGAGATTAACAAAAAAAACAGAAAGCTATTCAATTTCAATTAATTTGAAGGAAAAAAAAAACACAAAATCAGAACGGAAAATTCCAAACTCACCGGAGAAATTGACATCAAAACGATTAACCCAGAAGCCAAAATCAATCAATACCCAGATTCTTCAGACCAAAGACGGCGGACTCGTGTTAGGGTTTTTCAAATAAATAAAAAAAGGAGAAGACTTTTCGCTTTTTTTTCTTCCTCCTCGAAGAGAGAGAGAGAGAGAGAGAGATTTTTGCGCCCAAAATTTTTGGGGAACAGAGAAGAAATGAAGAAAGAGAGAGAGGAAAGAATCAGAAGATGAGAGAGACCGGTGGCTAACACCGAACGAGCCAATGGATCATGTGGCGTGTGGGTTTTAAACTGACACGTGTCGGTGATAATGACGTGGCTGATGACGTATGCAGATCGACGGTATGGTCTGGTAACTTTTTTAAGAAGGAGAAGAAGGAGGAAAGTCTACGATGCGGACGCTCTTACGTTTGTTTTGACACGTGGCGTGGTTGATGTTAACGTGCTCATAAATCAAATTACTAAATTACAAAAAGTAAACTTTGCTTTTTATATTCTTTTATTACACGTGAAGATATTTCCTGTTAATTAGGTTTAATCTAAAATAGCTAAAAAAGGCTGTCAAACTTAGCAATTTAAAGGTTAAAAAATAAAAGAATTTTAACATGAGTGTCACCACTATTTAAAGAAAAAAACACAAAAATAATACTCCCTCCGTTTCATAAAGAGTGTCGTTTTAAGGTTTTATTTTTGTTTCACAAAGAGTGTCGTTTTAGGTTTTCAATACAAAATTTAATGATTTTTTATGTTTTATGACTATTAGTATTCTGCAGATTGTTTTACTATTGGGCAGATTATGTTTAGGTATATATTTAATGATGTTTTTGTTTAGAAAAAACAAAAAAATTTAATGTTTTCTTAATCTGTGTGCAAAACTCTAAAATGACACTCTTTGTGAAACAGAGGGAGTATTTCTTGTTTGAGTTTGAGTGTTCATTTTCAGTGTAAACATTATGAGGATTTTGTGTTAGATTTGCTAAAAAGTTTTTTTTTTAAACAAATTTTGTTTTTGTTTATCGCTTTTAAATAGATCTAAAATATGACATTATTAGGACTGATCTATGGCTAATTGTGAGAGTGGTTAGCTAATTCTACGTACATTATTTTTGTTACACAATTCTTGGGAAAAAATGAGTGGTTAATAGCTATGTTGCATGGAAACGGAAGCGGGTATGCGGAAGCGGAATCGTTTAGAAGCGCTGAAGCGATTTTTTAGAAAATTTTACGGAAGTGGTACGCGATGGAAGCGTATAGTATATATAAATAATATATATATATATATGTATATATATAACTAAATATTAAACATTATATCATATTACAAGTTATATTAACCCCACAAATCTAATAAATAAATTTTAAAAACTAAATTTAAAAATTAAACCAATTTTTACAACAAACAAAATCAAATAATTCAAGAAAAAAAATATAACACTATATTCATTCTTTTTTTAAATAACATCAAACAAAATCGTTTCAAATTATGTATATTATAGGTAAAAATATTATCAAACTCAAGTCTCTCGAAATTAATCTAAATTAATTAATCATTTATAATATCTCTCACATATTAGATTCATGTCATTGCTATTTTCTAAACATGATTTTGTTAAAAATAAAATACAAAGATTAGTATGCAAAATTTTTAGTTTGAGTTTGTTTGTATAAAAATAATAATTTCATGTTTTATTTGTAAAATTGAATTTATAAAATGGAAGCGCAAGCTTCCAAACCGGAATCGTAAGCTTCCAACGAGCTTCCAAAGTGGAATTTTTGGAAACGCGATGGAAGCGAGATTCCGAAAGCTTCCAAGAACTTCCGATTCTGACTAAGATTCCGAAGCGGGAAGCGGACCTCCGACGAAGATTCCGTGCTTCCTAGGTTAATAGTCTTAATATTTTTTTTTAATACTCTTCTTTTTATGAATTGTAATTTCAGTTATTTGGTTTCCAGTGTAAAAAAATTTTAGATGTAAATTTCTTAGTTGTAGGTTCTATAATCTTAACGGATTCACAAACAATTTCAATATTAATATCATTCGTTGACAAAAAAATTAATAATCTGGAGTTGACTTAACAAAAATTAATTTGTAAATAAATTGGCAAAAGCCATTCTTATATTCTTAATACATTATGCAAAGAAGAGTGTTAATAATGTATTCACGAGAACTATTCAAGTCGACGTAACGGGACGACGGAGCAGTCGTTGACAAGTCATCGGAGCTTTTGCAAACTTCCGATAGACACACGACCTTGTCCACCTGAGAGTACACATAAAATATCCACTCGCTCTCTAAACACACCACGTGGCAAGGGATGAGACCACTGTCGGCTAATGGGCTAATAAAAGAAGTATCGTCCACGAGTTCCACGTTGATCAACAGTCACTTCACTGGCTGCTGTCTCTATTTGTTCAGAAAGTGACTCAAGACGGCATCGTTTATGGGGAATCACTAAACGCTGCGTTTTTCGTGTGATGAAATAATTTTGCAACCACGTCCACTTTTATTTTTCGCTTGTTAATAATGTTTAGTAACTGATTTGGCCACGAATTAGTTACGAATTGTGTTTTTTTCTATGGCTAAGTTCTCGTGTCTCTTGGGTTAATGTGGTATGACTCTAAGGACAAGGAATGGAGAGTAGTTAAAGGTTTGCCAACCAACATTTTTTATCACTCCAAAATGGTTGAATACAATGGATATTTGTTGCTTTTGGCGCAATATTCTTTGAGAGAGAAGAGGGAGATCAAATGTGCATGATCGTGTTGGATAGGATTGAAGTAGAGATTATGGGGAAGCTCGAGTGGTATGGTCGAGTACTTTCCTCTTGTTCTGACTATACTTAAATGCATAGTTTTGGTCGTACTGATTAACAAAAGTATGTATGGATTATAATCATGATAATGATGATGGTAAGGTTATGTTTTTACTTTTGACTAAAGGCAGGGCCGGCCCTGAACAATATGGGGCCCCAGCAAAAAAGAAAAAATTTGTTGGATTTTATAGATAAATTTTAAAAACTGATATCAAATCTTAAAATTTCAAGAAAATGGGGCCTCTTTTTACAACATAAAATATTTTTGGGGGCCTCATTTTGCAACAAAAAATTTGGGGGCCACAAACCATTGCCTCAAGTGGCTGTGTTCAGGGCCGACACTGACTAAAAGCTAGTGATATGATTTGCCTCTTAATTTGAGTAGATGATTTTCAATGTTTGGTACTCTTTTCATTATTTTAGTGGGAAGAAAACAAAGAAGATTTGGTGTTCAATGTAGCGTTTAGGAGTAAAGTATATGAAAAGAGATACGTTGATGCTAATGATGATGATGTTATGATGTTTGATACTTTATATGATTCATCATATATTAACATTAAATAGGGTTTGTTTAAGGGTAATTTTTATGCTCTGTTTTGGCTTATATATGCTCTATTTTTCTATAGGAAAGCAAAGTATAAGTAACGGTAGTTGAAGTCCAAGTAAATTAAGTATTAGTACTAGATGGTTTCATGCCCTTTGTGCGTGAGCCACCTTTTATTTATTAACAAAACATCCAACTGAGACTGGAGAAACATAAAAGCTTGGAACTTAATCTAATTTCAAGTGTTTGCTAATCACCGAGTGAGAGAATCTACCAATATGTTTGTAAGTGCGGATGAGGTCAAATAAAGTGCGTAAAGTAAACGAGACAAGAAATTTGTTAACGAAGTTCGGTTTTTCTCTACTCCCCGGGACCACGTCCAGATTTCGATTCCACTAGAACAAGAAAGCAAATTACAACCAATTCGCAAACGCGTAAAACAAACCCAACCCTCTTGATTTACCGCTCCCTTCTATAACGTGAAACCTTAAGGATAAATCTCTACCCTTAACTAAACTCTCCTGAGCCTAGATTTAATCAGGATAATCTAACCCTGAGCTAAACTCCCCCTGAGTCTAGACTTCAATTCTCCAAAGTTTCTCGAACGACCACCACACAAGAATCGTCACACCAACGAACCCAATGGTCACCAAAGCTCTCCAACAAGAACCTTCAACACCAACACACAAATAAGCTTGATCACACAAGCACAAACCCGCGAAACTACATCGCACACGATCACACACACAATCTCTCACATCGAATCTCCTTGGGATTTTTTCTCTTGCAAATCCGCTTTCTCATAAGGTCACGTCCCCCTTATATAATAAACAGAAACTTGCACCTCAAGTTCTTCCAATCACACATAAGAGAAAGTTTCTAAATCCCATAAGGAAAAGATTTTCCTTTTTGCCAATTTCCTTTTCACTTCAAGCAAACTTCCTCTTTGCTTATATGATTCCTTTTGTCTTCAAACAAAGATATTTTCATTTTCATTGACTTAACAAACGCTCCAACATCCAAGTACTCGAGCTCCTCATCAGCAGTTATGCATCTCATCTTCCTGAATCACATCTTGTACTACTTTCTGTACTACTTCAACGACTAGTACAGAACACCAAAATAACTGCATCTTCAATGTTCCCAAACAAACGTGCTAAGCAAATTCTGCAATCGATTAGGCGGAACCGCAACATTAGTGGATAAATCAAGAGTTCAAAAATCGAACACAGAACATTCATTAACTTGATGAAAAAAAAAAAAAAGATGAAAAAAAAAAGAACATTCATTAACTTGTAAACAAAATGTGTTGATGTGAAATTGTGAATGATGATGACTCAAAAACGTATTACAATCACCATCGTCATTACGTCTCAATGCATCTCTTCTCTTTAATCCAAAACAGAAAGTAATGCAATATATAGGCACAAGGAACAAGCGGCGATGAGTGATCTGCGACAAATTTCCTTAAGGTACTAAACTGGTCATGTCATCTAATGCTTTTGACTTCAAGAGTGATATTCTGGTTGTGGTATAAAAGAAGTTTTTTTAAGTTATGATTTTTTTATTTTATTTTTTATGGTCGAAAATTTGATATTGAAATTTGTCTCTCTCCTTTTTTTTTTTTTTTATAATCTACTATACATTTTTGCAACACTTTTAAGGAATCCAATCGGGTCGGGTTTTTTAATTTTGACCCGGAAATCTTCAATTGGATCTTCCCTTAAATTTTGTCAAATATCAAAAACGAAATTATTGTAATAAAATCTAAAAAAAATATATACTCTCAACTAATTACTATACCTAAACACTTTATTTATGGAATATTTTTACGATTTTTATAGATAAAGAAATCAAATATGATGATTTGCTGCTAATATAACAAATTTGAGCTAATTTCCTAAAAACTCTCTACCTAATTTAAATATAAATATATTATTCTCATTTTACTTTTATTTGATCTTATATTTATATTATTTTGAATTATTATAAAAATATATAGTTAATAAAACTTTAGATTTTTTTTCTGCATATGCTATGATTCAAATTTTTTAAAACGGACATATATTACTCAATCGATGAAGAAAAAAATCTACTTAACATTTTTAAAATACATTTTAAGGAATCCAATCGGAACGGTTTTTTTTTTCTGATTTTGATCCAAAAATCTTCAATCGGATCTTTCCTTAAATTTTGGTAAAATTTAAAAACGAAATTAATTAATAATATATATATATATATATATATATATATTCTCAAATAATTACTATATCTAAACTTTTTATTTATGGCATATTCTCTACGATTTTTATAGAGAAGGAATTCAAATATGATGATTTAATGATTTAATGCTAATATAACAAATTTGAGCTAATTTCCTAAAAAATCTCTACCTAATTTAAACATAAATATATGATTCTCATTTCACTTTTATATTATCTTCTATATATATATATATATTATTTTGAACTATTATAATATATATATATATATATTCTATTAATAAAATTTTTGATTTTTTCTGCATATGCTGTGATTCAAAATTTTTAAAACGGACATATATTACTCAATCGATACAGAAAAAAATATGTGTACAACCTATATTAATACTTTTGAAGAACAAATTTGCGTGTTTAATCAGATCGTATTTTTTTAGACTCTGACTCGGAATTGAGTCATTCGGATATTTCCTTAATTTCTACAATTATCCAAAACGGGACAATATACCACGGGTGAAATCCTAAAATTAACAAATCAAAATATAATTATTTAGTATTTTAAGATACAATTATAAATTATTTTTATGTGTTGGTCCAGAAACACACACTAATTTTAATATATATATATATATATATATATATATATATATATATATATATTATGGAAACCATTTGAAAGCAGAATTTTAAATTAACTCGAATTATATATCTTTTTAAAAAAGTGTTATCAAAAAAATAAAAAATGATGTTTAATTTTACGGGATGATATTAGATGGTGGGACGGGTTTGGATTGATATTAATACGGAACAATATATCACGGGCAGTGTTCAAGAAAGCGCTAGGCGCTAAGCGGACGGTGACCCAGTGCCTAGCGCTTAGAACGCCTAATCGGGGTCTTGGCGATTTTTAGGCGGTTTAAACGTTTATAACATAAAACATTATCAATATGATATTATATATAAAAGTTATATAAAATATCTATATAAAACTAAAAATTATGAAATTATAAATTAAAATTAGATAAAATATTTATTTATATTTATATTAAACAATATTTGAATATTTATAACTATATATATATAAATAAAATTCTAATTGAAATTGAAAAAATACATTAAACAAGATCTATGTAATTTTAGGCGGTCAAGGCGGTTATCTAGGCGTCGCATGAGATCCTAGCGCCTAGTCGGGGCCTAGGATCTAGGATCTAGATTATTTTGACTCAATTTCGGGTCAAAATAAAAAAAAAAGACATGATTAAATGTGCAATTTGTTCTTAAAAAATGTTAATATAGATTACACACATATTTTGTTTCTTCATCGATTGAGTAATATATGTCTGTTTTAAAAATTTTGAATCATAACATATGCAGAAAAAAAAAACTAAAATTTAGTAACTTTATATATTTTATAATAATTCAAAATAATATAAATATAAGATCAAATAAAAGTGAAATGAGAATCATATATTTATGTTTAAATTAGGTAGAGAAGTTTTAGGAAATTAGTTCAAATTTGTTATATTAACATTAAATTATCATATTTGATTTTCTAATCTATTATAATTGTAAAGAATATACCATAAATAAAGAGTTTAAATATAGTAATTAGTTGAGAAAAATATATAATTTAGATTTTATTAGGTATTTTTGTTTTTAAATTTTGCCAAAATTTAAGAAAGATCCGATTGAAGATTTCCGGGTCAAAATCAGAAAAAAAAACCAGACCCGATTAGAGGAGCAAATTTGTACTTCAAAAATGTTAAGTAGATGTCGTAGTTATATATAGTTTTTTTTTTGTTTTTCTTTTGTATCTTTTTCAAATTTAATCGAAAAAGAAATACTAACATTTATTATATTAATAAACTCGTATACGTGAAAAAAAAAATTAAAAAATGAACTTGTATCAATTAGGGCTTCTTCTCCTCTCTTCTCTTTTTCTCCTCCTCCAACAAATATATAGCCGCCACCGGAAGAGAAGGGTCGTCGTCATTTGTAGAAAAAATAACTCTTCAACTGGTTTAATCAGCTTTTTTCTCCATCAAAGTAAAACCATGAGGTCTTTATGCAAAAAAAGACTCATGATGAGACGAGCTGAAAAGTTCATCAACGGATCATCTTTGTCGTTTTCGTCATTACCATACGATGTAGTTTTGAACTGCTTATCTCGTGTCCCGAGATGCTACTACTCAAACCTCTCTCGTGTTTCCAAAACCTTCCGATCTCTTGTGAGTTCTCCTGAGCTTGCACGTAGGCGTTCCTCCTTAATTGGCAAAAACAATCCCGTCATTTGTGTCTGCTTTACAGAAGCTGATAGTTTTGGAAGGATATTTCATTGGTTCACTTATGACGCACACGAGAAGAAGATAAGTAGTGCTCTTAATGTACTTCCTAGACAGATGATGTGTTGTTCCATCGTCTCGTTAGGTTCCACGATATACTTTATTGGTGGAGCCATGGGTCATACTTCCACAAGCATTAGGTTCTTGGATCCATGGTCTGGCGAGCTGTGTGAGGGTCCTAGCATGAAAGAGGCTCGCATGTTACCAGGCGTGACAGTTGTGGATGGGAAACTATTTGTAATGGGAGGTTGCGGCCAAGAGCAGGTCCAAGTGGAGGTTTTTGACCCAGAGACTCAAACTTGGGAAGTTGGACCATTAAATCCCCATGTGGGAATCCAGTACGGACAAGGAATACCAAGTATGCGATATGGATCGACTGTGACCGAATCTGTTGACGTGGAAGGCAAGGTTTATGGTATGAGTTATAGTAAAAGTAAACACATAATCTACAATACGAAAGATGGTATATGTGAGACTTTTGAGATGAAAGAAGAAAAAGCATGGAGGAGAGGTGGAGTGTGTGTGATAAACAATGTCATCTATGTTTATTACAAGGACCGTGGGTTAATGTGGTATGACTCTAAAGATAAGGTGTGGAGAATGGTCCATGGTTTTAAGCTTGATAAGGGGATTGACATGCCTGTTGGAATGGTGGATTATAATGGAAAACTTGCGGTTCTGTGGGAAGATCTGGGACGTATTATTAGTAAGAAAACCAAAATGAAGAAGATTTGGTGTACCATTGTCGCGTTGGATAGGATTGGTGGAGTAGCGATCCGTGGAACGGTCAAGTGGTCTCGTCTTGTTTGCTCTGTCCCTATTTACTATGACGTTTGGCGTTGTCTACATGTTTCTGATTAGTTTAAACTTGAAAAAGATGCTTATGATGGTAATGATATATGTTATGTTGTGAAACGTTTTCTCACTTTGAGTATGACAAAATTATAAATTTGGCGTTTTAGCTAGTCGACTTCTAGTAGGATTTACTTGGTTCACTTCTCGACTTCTAGTAGGATGGTAATAGATTTGGCCAGCTAGGTTTACATCACATGCCACTGGAATATCCGCTTGAGTAGGTTGGCGCAATGATAATGATATCTTACTTTACAATCCAAAATTTGTTCACAGGAAGTGGAATTTATCTTTCAATATGATTCCTTCGGCCATGATTAGGGGTTTGGGGAGAGACTCTAAGGAGAGAATTAACTTCTGATCAAGAAGAGATCAGAGGAGTTATTAAGAAGAAAAATCCAATTGAAATGTACAAGATTTTTCTAATACACAAACAACACACAATCATAATTTGTTCATAATTTATCCTTTTTGATTCTTTTACTAGATTTAATCATGACGGAGTGTACAACACACAGTGGCTCTGCGATGAGCATGGTACACCATCACTTCTTTTCCCGCTCGCATCGACCACAATCTAGCCGTGGTGTCCGATGATGCTATGCAATAATACAAAGTCAAAACCAGTTTAATACTCTTCTGTCTCACACAATTTTTCCGATGTAGAGAGATTAAATAGTACCTGTTACAAGATATTCTCCATTCCTTGAGAAGTCACAGTCCCAGACCCATCTTCGATGTCCTGTTAAATAATATTGATGAGAGTGTATATAATGGTCTATGGAGAACACATACCCCTTTCAAAAACATGGAGACCATAATATACCTGTTAAAACTTTCTCAAGTTTGAAACCATCAACGTTCCATATTTTGACAGTTTTATCAGATGATGCGGTCGCTAGATATCTGCTATAAGAAATATATAAGACCTTCCAAGAAGAAAGCTAGACGAAGAAAACGGTTTTAAGAGAAAGAAGAAGAAACACATTATTACTTGTTTCCAGGAGAGAGGAGACATTTAAGGATGTAGCCATTATGAGCTTGTAGCTTATGAAGGGGCTCAAACTCCGTCATCGTCTGAGAACAACGAACAAATTCTTAATTGGCATGAACAATTACAGCATGGTGGAAGAAAGAAATGCTTTCATATGATACGAAAAAGTACTTGTATTCCTTGCAAAGAGCGCCATACATAACATGTTCCACGTTCGTTAGCAGCAACCACCATTGTCCCATCCCACATAACCGTTAAAGACCGTATAGGTGTACCAACTTCTGGTACCTAAGTTATACACCAAGTGATTAATTATATATCAACGGATTTTTACGAAAATGTAACTAGGATAAAGAAATGTACCAGTTCACAGCTACACAAATCTGCTCTGAGATCCCACACACGTATATTTCCGTTTTGGTCACCAGATATCAATTCAGTCTACCAAAAAAAGATAACAAGTGAGAGACAAGTACAAGAAGCTGATTGCTACAACACAACACTAACAAATGTACCTGATTTGGGTGTAAAACGACTGTGTTAATTGGTGAAACACTTCTAAACTCCCTTTGGCATTCTCGAACCCTGCATTTTTCGGGTCGACAATTTGTTGTTAAGATCATGGAAATCAAAACTAGCATTGAGCTATACAAGAAAGAAAAAAAAACATTAATGTACAACCTCAAGTCCCAGATCTTAACTGTGCCATCTTCTGATCCTGAATACATCATTTGTCCAGTATATTGGAATCCTACTGCCATAACATTGTTGGTGTGTGATTCAAAAGTCCTCACCTAATGCGCACAAAGACGCCATCAAGATCATTCATATATATATATATTCAAAGGTAAAAAACAAACAAACACTACATGGAAAGGAAAAAAGAAGGATATTTACAGGTAAATGAGGGGCCATGGAATTGAGATCAAAGAGTCGTATGTAAGGATTGCAAGCTGCTACAAGTTTACCCTTATCAGGGGTTATCTCAAGCCTATTCACATGCTGAATATATATAAAAAAAGTTTCAGAAGAAATGTAAAAACTTAAAAAAATGCATATATATGTCACAGAGATTTTAGTGTTGAGAAACAAACACACACCATATCAGGATAGGCAAAAGAAAGGTAACAGGTACCGGTTCGGGCTTCCCATAATCGAATGGTATGATCATAACTTGCCGTTGCGAGAAACAAGGGACGATCATCCGGATTGTTTTCAAACATTATTTCTTCAACAGAAGAGTAGGGTTTCGCAAACAATTTTTTTTTTTTTTGTTCTGACAATTTGGGGATTTAAGCTGAATTTCAGACAAAAAGAAACCATTATTATATTAAAATATACTATTCATTATCTTTCTCTTTTTTTGGTCAAATATATCAATTATCTTATATATGCTTCAATTTTATATTAATGTTTTGATTTTATTCCTTCGTATTTCGGATATGTTTCCTAAAAAAGTATAAAGGAAAAAAAAGAAGATAAATTTTAAATTTCCGAGAAAAGGACAAAAAAAGGCGAAAAGGTATTTCTTTATCTAAGAACAAGTCAATATTCTAAATTATAATTATAATGTAATCCTATATAAATAAAAACTCAGTATTATTTATGTTAATATGTTTGGTTCTCCTGATAAAAAAATCTGAAGCCAAAACGATATGTCTCCTTCTTCGAAGAAGTTTAAGAAACAATCTTCCTCTAAAGCAGTTAAGCCACCGCTAGAAGATAACGATCCGTCCTTGCCGTCGTTTTCTTCACTGCCCGACGAAATCGTATTGGACTGCTTGCAACGTGTCCCTAGAAGCTATTACCTAAACCTCTGTCGAGTTTCCAAAACCCTAAGGTCCCTTGTTCGGTCGCCTGAGCTCTCCCGTTTGCGATCTCTCCTTCCAAAGAAATCTGTCTATGTCTCTTCAGTGAAAACAATGCTCCACATACGATCTACCGTTGGTTCACTCTTAAGAAGACGACGATGAAGACGGCTATGAAAACGTTTGGGTATAAATTGGTCAAGATTCCGGTTCCGTTTCCTTCTCATCATCATATGTATAACTCTTCCGCTGTCGCGGTTGGGTCAGAAATTTACTTCGTAGGTGGATCTTTCAAACCTTTGTCGGATCTATGGATTCTAGATACACGAACTGGAATGTTTACCCAAGGACCAAGCATGAGAGTTGCACGCACGGATGAAGCCTCCGTTGGAGTAATCAACGGAAAGATATACGTGATAGGAGGGTGTGAAGACAAGAGACAAGCAGAAGTTTTCGATCCGAAGTAGCGGAACTGGAAAACTGCGAAAAATCCAGAGGAGAAATCGCAGCGCGGATTGATGACGCGGTTAAGTGCGGTGTCACTGGATTGGAAGGTTTACACCGTGGAAGTTGGGAGAATCGGTGTGTATGATCCGAGAGAAGGTAAAAGAAAGGAGACATTGAAAATCCCAAGTGATACCGTTTGGTGTATGTGTGTTGTTAATGATGTGCTCTATGCTTGTTATTTTCAGCAGGGGTTGATGGGGTTTGACGTAAACCGCAAGGTATGGGTTAAAGTGGTTGGTTTAAAGACACTTAATGTCAAGTTTGATGTCACTGTGATGGCGGAATACGATGGAAAGCTAGCGATTTTGTGGTGTGAGATTGATGACACGAAGACGAAGAAGGAGATTTGGTGTTCAGTGATCGCGTTGGATTGGATTGGAGAAGGGATTCGTGGGACGATTGAGTGGTCTGGCATTGTGGCCACAAAGCCAGATTACTATGAGTTTCATAATTGTTTAGTTGTTTCTGATTGAGAGGGTTTTGTTGCAACGTAAAAAACTGGTTTAACTCTTAGAATTTGACTTTATAATGCCTTATAAACAAGGCAGTTTTTAACAATTAGGATGTGTTAACAACAAAGATTGTTGTTATTGATGTATAGTAATATTGTGGTTTGAATTAAGTTTCTCTGGTGTTCTTAAAAAAATTAATCTAGATATAATCCATAGACATAGCAGTGAATTCTTTGATTAATAACCCTTTTTTTTTTTTTTTTTGTCAACTCTTTGATTAATAACCCTTTATATTGTTTGAACAATAACCAAAAGAATTATAACAATATTTTTAAAAAGTTTTTGATTGTTGTTTGTTTTCATTTTGTCCTTCATGTTTTTTTTGAATCTCAAATATTTTTCATAAAAACCAATAGATGTTGTTAGTAGAACAAAACATTAGGTTTTCTTCTTAAATTCTAAAGCCAACGAACAACTCCAAACCAAAAGAAAAGAAAAGAAAGAAAAAGCCAATCCGAAATCTTGAAAGCTAAACACATCTAAAAAGAAGATTCGTAAACAACGATTCCAATCCAATCACTCGAACGCCCATTTGTTCTCATTGCGAACCTCCGCTTCTTCCTCAGGTGTGTAATCGTTCTTGATGTTGAAGTGCTCACGCATCTGCTCTGGAGTTTTGCCTCTCATCATATCAGCCACGGCCTTGCACGTTAGGTCAAGAAGTCCACTGATGTTCAAATAGTTAGCAGCCAGGATGAGATCGAAGAGAGTAGGCTGATCAACTTTGACGAAATCATTGTCCCATGCCTTAAGTTCATCGTTCTCGGTGGAACCACAAAAATCCTTATCTCCGCCTGCCTCAGCCGCGGCTTCAACGTGCTTCTTGCAGTACTCAATAACCTTCGCGAGGATCGCTCCGGTGACATTGGGAAGGGGAATTCCGTTATCGGCGCAGTCGTCCTCGATCATGTGCTTAATCGTCTGGGACTCGACCGCGACGGCTTCATCGACCTCGAAGGATTCACCGTCGGAGCTCTTGAGGATGATCTTCTTCGCTGCCATCGTTGCAAGGAGAAGGAAAAAAGTGACGATTCGAAAAGTTTTGAAGAGAATCCCCGCGGCGATTGAATTGTGAAGGTTTCAAGGTTTGGGAATTTGGTGCCCTAGTTATAGATCTAAGTAAAGCCCACTTCTTAATTGGTGATGATTAAAGTCCGTTTATTGCTTTTTTTTTTAACATCTTCTTTATTAACTTTAACAAGAGTATACAAAAATATCAATGAGCATACAAGTTAGGGTTCTACTATCCAATACAACTGAAACTTTAAGTATATCGAAAAAAGTGAAGTTACACGTTGCTTCTTTTTCTAGGTAAGCCTTACACGCTAATAGATTTATCAATCTATTATTTTCCTTCATCGTCTTTGTCTTCGGTCTAATTTGATCTTCTTGCTTGGCTATCATTTCTTTCATGAAACTCCAATACACTTTTTGAAAATCAAAAGGTTGTGATCCATCAGTTACATCTCAAACTATACCATCATTTCCATCTCCAATGCTAGGCGATGGGATTGTTTTGGTTGTACATAACACCCATGATAGATCCATAATCTCGATTCCCTTGTTGACGTTTTTTGAAGACCAAAAATGAAAGGTCGACCAATATATTCTTCGAGTTTTACACTCAATCCCTTCACCAAAATGGTTTGGGGGATCTTGGCCATTAAGGGCTCGACATGTGTATAGTAAAAAATTGGACCTACTCCGACGAACCATAAATAAACCATCTCCATTGTTGGAGAAAATTTCCAAAAACGTAATCGTTTCCAATCACTAGAGGGATGATCATATCTAACCGAGTCTATGTGTGTTTGATCTGCCATCACTGTTGAGACTGTAATTTGGTCCCAAGAACTATGAACCTTATCAATAGTCGCCGTCGGTGGGAATCCCGCTGCAACCATTGTCACTAACAAGTGAAGAGCAAATACACAATGTAAAAACTGTTGTAGGATCGCCAAATCAATCTCCAAATCCATCATATTTTTGTTGCCATAATCTGAGAATACACTGTCAGAGATAATTGATAATCACTCATTCACTCTCGGAGGCGAAGAGAATCATGGGAAATGAAAAGGCACGATCACCTTTCTAATCGCCTCAGAGACAAAGGCAGTTTTATCTCAGATTGTCTTATGCAGTCGGTTTGTCCTTCATGGTTTATTTTCAATAAATTTCACTTGATGGCAAAAAAAAAAAGAAAAGATTTTTTGATCAGTCTGCCGCCAAATTCAACATGTTATCGTTTTTTATCCTTTTTTTTCGCAAAGTTGTGACCTTTACAGATTTTCACCGAAATTGAAAGCTCAAAAAGAGAACTTTTTTGAAGTTGTACGTTTTGTTATCTCTCTTATAGTCTACAATTTCAAATGGATGCTCCGGTTCCACTCTCTTTATCTACTCTATTGGAACTCTGCACCAATCTCTTGCAAAAATCTGTAAACAAGTCCAATGGTCGTTTCACAGCGCAATTGGTCCATTGTCGCGTTATCAAATCAGGTCTTGTGTTCAGCGTTTATCTGATGAATAATCTAATGAATGTCTACTCAAAGACTGGTTATGCTCTTCACGCACGCAAGTTGTTCGATGAAATGCCTCTGAGAACGGCTTTTTCATGGAACACGGTTCTCTCGGCTTATGCTAAACGAGGAGATATGGATTCGTCTTGTGAATTTTTTGATCGGTTGCCTCAGAGGGATTCGGTTTCGTGGACTACGATGATTGTTGGGTATAAGAACATTGGTCAATATCATAAGGCTATAAGAATTATGGGGGAAATGATGAGAGAAGGGATTGAGCCGTCGCAGTTTACGCTTACGAATGTGCTTGCATCGGTTGCTGCAACTCGGTGTTTGGAGACAGGTAAAAAGGTTCATTCTTTCATCGTTAAGCTTGGTCTTCGTGGTAATGTTTCTGTGTCGAATTCCCTGCTTAATATGTATGCAAAATGTGGTGATCCGATGATGGCAAAAGTTGTTTTTGATAGAATGGTGGTTAAAGATATCTCAAGCTGGAATGCTATGATTGCGTTACATATGCAGGTTGGTCAGATGGATCTAGCTATGGCGCAATTCGAGCAAATGGCTGAGCGCGATATAGTCACTTGGAATTCTATGATTTCTGGTTACAATCAGAGAGGGTATGATCTCAGAGCTCTAGATATGTTTTCGAAGATGCTGAGGGATTCTATGTTGTCACCAGATAGATTCACTTTGGCGAGTGTGTTATCTGCTTGTGCCAATCTTGAGAAGCTTTGTATTGGGGAGCAGATTCATTCACATATTGTTACTACAGGGTTTGATATTTCCGGAATTGTGTTAAACGCCCTGATCTCAATGTATTCGAGGTGTGGAGGGGTCGAGACTGCCCGGAGACTAATAGAACAAAGAGGAACCAAAGATCTCAAGATCGAAGGTTTTACAGCTTTACTTGATGGGTACATTAAGCTTGGGGATATGAACGAAGCTAAGAATATATTTGATTCGTTGAAAGATCGCGATGTAGTCGCATGGACCGCCATGATTGTAGGATACGAGCAACACGGTTTGTATGGTGAAGCTATAAACCTTTTCAGATCAATGGTAGGAGAAGAGCAGAGACCAAATAGTTATACTCTTGCAGCAATGTTAAGTGTAGCTTCAAGTTTGGCATCATTGGGCCATGGCAAGCAAATCCATGGGAGTGCTGTAAAGTCAGGGGAAATTTATTCGGTTTCTGTCAGCAACGCGTTGATAACAATGTATGCAAAGGCGGGTAGCATTACATCGGCAAGCCGGGCATTTGATTTGATACGCTGTGAGAGGGATACAGTATCTTGGACGTCCATGATTATTGCGTTGGCACAGCACGGTCACGCAGAAGAAGCACTTGAACTCTTTGAGACAATGCTGATGGAAGGACTGAGACCTGATCACATAACATATGTTGGTGTTTTCTCTGCCTGTACTCATGCCGGTTTGGTCAACCAAGGTCGTCAATACTTCGATATGATGAAGGACGTTGATAAGATTATACCTACCCTTAGCCACTATGCTTGTATGGTGGACCTGTTTGGACGTGCTGGTTTATTGCAGGAAGCACAAGAGTTCATCGAAAAGATGCCTATTGAGCCTGATGTAGTGACATGGGGTTCACTGCTTTCTGCTTGCAGGGTTTACAAGAACATCGATCTTGGGAAAGTTGCAGCAGAGAGATTGCTTCTTCTCGAGCCAGAGAACAGCGGGGCATACTCAGCCTTGGCTAACTTATACTCAGCTTGTGGAAAATGGGAAGAAGCTGCTAAGATAAGAAAATCCATGAAAGATGGAAGAGTGAAGAAGGAACAAGGGTTTAGCTGGATTGAAGTGAAGCATAAAGTCCATGCCTTTGGAGTTGAAGACGGGATTCATCCCCAGAAGAACGAGATATACATAACAATGAAGAAGATTTGGGACGAGATAAAGAAAATGGGATATGTTCCCGACACTGCTTCTGTACTACACGACCTCGAAGAAGAGGTTAAAGAACAGATTCTAAGGCACCACAGCGAGAAACTAGCAATAGCATTTGGGTTAATTAGCACTCCGGATAAAACCACATTAAGGATCATGAAGAATCTCAGAGTGTGCAATGATTGCCATACGGCTATAAAGTTTATCTCCAAGCTTGTGGGAAGGGAAATAATAGTGAGAGATACAACAAGATTTCACCATTTCAAAGATGGGTTTTGTTCTTGCCGAGATTATTGGTGAAAATAAGGAGATCCAAGAATTATCATATGGAAGACTAACTCAAGCCGTTGTACAAACAGATTCAGGTATGGCTTCTTTGGAGGGAAACCAACAAAAGTTTTCCTCTTTCATTGTTATATTGGTATGTAAGTTCCATCACCATCATCATCATTATTAAGCATTAGAATAAGATGACATGGGCATGTGAGTCTTTAGTGGTAAAGGAGAAGGATATAATGAACGATGGAGATATTTTTGGGAAAAGCATAAAGAGGAGAGAGAGAGAGAGAGAGAGTAAATGGAATTGGAACAATTAGAAAGAAGTATAGAAGAAGAAGAAGAGAATATGGTTCTGTTTGTTACCAAAAGCTAGGCCTGGGCATAAAACCCAAAATCCGAAAACCGATCCGAAACCGATCCAAAAAATCCGGAACCGAACCCGAACCGAATAGTCACAAAATCCGAACGGATAATGAATTCTCCTATCCGAATTACCCGAACCGAACCCGATCCGAACCGAAAACCGAAAGGATATCCGAAAACCGGAAATAAAAATTATATATCCAAAAATATTAGTTATATTTAGTTGTAATTTTATAGCAAATAACAAAAATATCCTAAATATCCTAGATTTCGGAAAAATTTTAGTTATATTTGTTAAAATTATACATATTTTTGCAAAATTTAACCAAATTTTAATAAGATTAAACCAATTTTTATTAACATTGAACTATTTTTAAGTTTTTTTTTCCCAAAAACCGATCCGAATCCGATACCTATCCGAACCAAAACCGAACCGATGACTCATAAAATCCGAACGGATAATAAATTCTCCTACCCAAATTATCCGAATCCGAATATATCCGAACCGAAACCGAATCGAAAAATCATAAAATCCGAACAGATAATAAACTCTCATACCCGAATTATCCGAATCCGAATATATCCGATCCGAATCCGATTTGAAATCCGAATGCCCAGGCCTACCAAAAGCTTTCTTTTTTACTAACCATTGACTAACATTACACATAGATGAAGGAAAGATCTTGGTCGGCATAAAATGTATGACTTAACAACAGAGAGAGCCCACACTTGTGTAGCTTACGTGGCAGGTCCGGGCAGGTCAATTAGAGATGATCACATAGAGTCACTGCCCGTACTGCCCTAAGGATTCGGAGTAACAACTACGGGCAGCTTCACACTCTTCTCTTTCATCTCTCATCTCTCTCTTCTCCTATATCTGAGATTCTGAACAACTCTTTTTTGATAACCAATCTCACACTTATTCCATTAATGAACAGAGCTCATTTCTTTTAGTCTTTTTCTCTTTCTTTCCATAATTTTAGAGCTTTCTTTGGTAAGTTCTTCTTCTTCTTGTCTCTGTTTATTTTGGTTCTTAAAGTCTTGTTTTGTTTGTTGTGAAATATTGAAGTAGAGGACATCCTCAAAACTTGTTCTTTTATGATTCTTTCTATGATTGCTCTGTTTTTTTTTTCTTCTGTAAGAAATTTTTGTTGTTATTCTTGTTGTTGCAGATCTAACGGTTTTCATAACTGTTAAATACAGAGTGAACAAAGAATGGAGTTGAAAGAACAAGGTTTAAGGTTGTCTCTGGTTCTCTGTAACGCTTCAGTGCTAAACTGCGCCGCTTTGGCTTTAACGGCTACTCTGCTCTCCTCTTTGCTAGAGCTCTTCTCTCAGGCAAGCTCTTTCTTTTTTCAACTTTTCTTTCCTTCTTAACAAACGTTTACAAAGTATTGGCGGTCGCATATAACAACTTTTTTAAGATAGTATTTTTTTCTATATAAAAGTTAATTCACTTTTTTTTTCCTATTAGAATGTCCCACATTGCTTGGGATTAAGATCTTTTGGTAATATATAAAGGATGTGGCAATCCTTAACTCTTGAGCTAGCTTTTGGGTTAAGTTAGGCCACATTCCTAATATGGTATCAGAGCCCAAGGTTGGCCCAACAAGCAAATTCCCACACAAATGGTTTCCCACCTATGTGGCCCATATAAGTGGCATGTCTTGTTGTATTTCCGAGATGTTGGGCTTGGGCTGTTTCCCGTTGGACCGTTTCCCACCCACATCTCGAGGAGGCCTATTAGAATGTCCCACATTGCTTGGGATTAAGATCTTTGGGTAATATATAAAGGATGTGGCAATCCTTAACTCTTGAGCTAGCTTTTGGGTTAAGTTAGGCCACATTCCTAATATTTCCAGCAAAATCAATCATATATCTTGTATCTTGTTTCACACAAAAGAAAATTTTCTTACAAAACTAAATCTTGACCGACTTGAAGCGTTTTATTACTTCTTTAGAATGGGTGGTTGGAAAAAATAAATAAATTAAAAGTTTTGGTGAGTATATTGTGAGGGTGTATAATAATAGCTATTTAGTTGAGGACGGTTGCTTTAATGAGGAGGAATATGAAAATAGATTTTTAAAATTATATATAAGTTGTAGGTCCAAGAAATATCAAAAAAGGTATATTCCATAGATTATGCTTTCAAGTTTTTCCAAATCTTATGTTTAGAAGAAGCCCATGTCTTAATTTAGTATGTCGGCCCAATTTTAATATCATGTTAAATTGTTAAAAGATTGTTTATGGTAGTGATAAAGTGAATATGAAGCTGCAGGTTACTGTCTTGAAGGGTGATGTTATAGAGAATGGATACGAGGTGGTTGATGCAGTGGAAGGCAATGGAAACAATGATGATAGTGGTGATGATGGAGGAGAAGAAGAAGAAGGCAGTGCGGATGATGCAGAAGGAAAGGAGACCAAGAAAGGACCGGTTAGTGATCCTGATTTGAACGGTGAAGCTGGAGATGATAATGATGATGAACCTGAAGGAGATGACGGCAACGATGACGATGACGATAACCATGAGAACGACGATGATGATGAGGAGGAGGATGAAGACGAGAATGATGATGGTGGCGAAGATGACGATGATGAGGAGGCAGAGGTAGAGGAGGAGGAAGAGGAAGAAGATGATGAGGAAGCACTTCAGCCACCAAAGAAGAGGAAGAAGTGAACAAACCGCTTTGATCTCCTAACATTTTAGATTCAAAAACCAGAACTTGTTATCGGTTTCTACCAGAAGAGGAGAAAATCTTAAGGCACCATCACCTTTAGCTTCGACTGTGTCTTTGTTGTTCCATAAACCAAAAAAAGACTTTGTTTAGTGTACCATTTTCAGATCCAATGAGACCAGCTTTCTTTTCTTTATCACATCAGTAATGATATATGCATATCTATGAGGTCATCAAATGCGATCAAATTTATATAACGACTTAAAGGGTCAACTTTAGCTGTCATCAATAGTTAAAGAAAGTTAGATCCTACTGAGTCCTATCAGCTATCACATTGATCGAACAAAGCAAAAAAAGAAAGAAAAAAGGAAGGCTTAAACATCAGTTTGGGACAAAAGAATGAAGCTCATAAAGCAAACCTTTTCCCAGAGGTCACAATACCAGGGAGATTGCACATAGGTCTTTAACGAATAATCACAATGGTATAGACTGTTCATAGACTGTTCATCCTATGGCATCGGACAAGAGCGAAATCAAACGGAAAAACAAAAGGAAGAAAAAAACAATACAAGAAAAAGCTAAAACGTACTGACTTGATAGAAATGTTAAAAGAAATCCCAGAACTGCATGTTTATCATTCTCATGCTCAGCTCACATCATCTGCAAAGTTGGAGTTCAAAAAAACAAAACAAAACATAACTTCATCAAAAGCTTAAGACAAAAAGAAAAACATATCGAAACAGGAGCAATGCTCTATCCTTCTGGTCAGATAACCCCGAAAAGTGAAAACAAAAACATAAAAACAATATTAAAACTCAAACTAGAGTCTAAAACCATGAGTGAAACACCATAAACAGATGCTAAAGTGTTACAGTCCATTTAAAGACGTTAGAACCAAAACCAGATGAGGGGAGAGATGGTAAACGTTCAGATTATAAAACCCAGTGCAACACTAAAACCAAGAAAGCCAAGAAACAAATAAAATGTAACAATATCTGTTCCCATCATCACCAACCAATAAAGAAACTTTGATAAAACAGATGACACTTAAGAAAACTGTAAAACCAGAGGTAGTAAAGAAAAGAAAACATAAACCAAAATAGGAAAAACAAATGGAGACCAAATGGAGGAAACTAAAGAAAACAAAAGAATGAACTACGGCAATAGATGAATTCCTGTAGCAGTTCCTCCTAGGAGTACACATATTTAGGCATTTTAGCCAACACATTAACCAGTAACAGATTGAGAGGCATCATGTCAGATTATTTTCCGGTACTACCACAAAGCCTTAATCCATTTATCTACATACACTACACATCTACTATGAATCATGCAACATATGCTTATCCAAAGACATTCAAACCACAATATGAGCACAAATATTGCTATAAGGTTCCAGTGAGCGTACCATGAATAGTTTGAGTAGCCATGAAAGGAGGAGCCACCAGCATCCGAATCTTTACCCGTCCCTCTTTTTCCACCAGCATCCGAATCAGGATAAGCAGTAGACATACCCTGACCTCTAAAGTAAGAACCAAGAACTGACAAACCAGCAGCACCAACGCTTGGGTCACCAATCCCACCCATTTGACTAGACTGTACCAAATCAGAACCCATCCCACCATGAGCTAGAGCGCCCGCCAACATCGGATACATGTAACCTCCACCAGCTGCTGCTGCTAAAGCTGGATTCGCCAACATTCCGGCTCCATAAACCGGATGGTATTGATTCCCTAACATAAACGGCGATGCAGCCATTCCACCACCGTTAAACATATGTTGCCCTTGCGCCTGCTGTTGCTGAGACTGGCCCTGATTAACCATCGTACCCATACTAATCTTCACCGGACCAGCCTGATCATGCCCCTTTCCCGACGCCGCAGGCCCCATAGAAGCAAGCTGGCAAGTCGCAGTTCTATTAAGAATCCTCTTCTTCGGTTCTTTAAGAGCTTCTTTAGCTCCTTTCCTCGTCTTAAACATAACAAATCCGAATCCTTTAGCCTTACCAGTAGCCTTATCTATAACAACGGTACACTCTTCAATCTCACCATAGCCTTCAAAGACATCAACAAGAGTCTCGCGAGTCGTCTCCCATGGAAGACCATAAACGAAGATTTTCCTATGGGTAACATCACGATCTGCAGCTTCTACGACGGCGGAATAGATCGAGGATCCGATTTGCGCAGCGGAACAAACAAGGTCGACGAGCTGGTCCTTGGAATAAGGTCGAAGAAGCTCACGTAGCTCTTCTGGATCGAATTCGTTGTCTGATTCCGAATCGCTAGAATTAGAGCTTGAGCTTGAACTTGAATATGGCGTCGATGATTCAGGTTGTTTTTTAATCTTCTGTTTCTTCTCGAGTTTCTTGGATTTGGATTTCACGAGTTTGCGTTTCTTAGATTTGTCTAGGGTTTTCGCCATTGTAGTTGAGGATAAGAAGCTTTTAGGGATTTTGATTTTTGATTTCAGTTTCTTTTTTATCCCCTCTATTTATTTCGAGATGTCGTTAGTCACCTCAATCGCGCGTTTGAGTTCGTTATTAAATCCTCCAATCGCAATTTGTGACCGCTAGGATCCGGGTCGTACCCGGTGATCCGAACATAATTATAATGGACTTTTAGTTTTGATAATTAATGAAGATAATAGACTTAAAAAAAATAAAATCAGTTTCAGGCCATTGTAAGAGAACTAACTACCAAAATATATCCAGATCAGTGAGGAACTTGATTCATGTCCGAGTAAAGACAAAGATCTTAGAGAGAGTTTTGTTTAGAGTTTCTTCATTAGAAAGAACAAGAAAGCCCTCATAAGATAAGAAAATTTCATGATCACAAAACAATGAAAACATATAGCCAAAACCAAAACCAAAGCTGATTCAGCTAAAGCATACCATAGATGAATACCGAGTAGATTCGTATGGATGGATAGCTGCAGAAAAAACCGAAAACCGAAAACCGAGATTGATCCTCTTAAGAAATCGAAAAACTGAAAACAAGATTGATCCTCTAAGAAAACAAGGATTGGCATCGGTCATTGTGAAAATGCAGAAAAAAACACCAAGTCTGGATATCAATACTCAACCAGAGCTCTCTACTGTCCTTAGAATATGAACAGCGAGCGGGTAAAAAAAAGATAAATCCAGAAACAAAGTTATGTAAGGTGAAAAACAAATTGGGTCCAAGTACTGATGAGTCATCGGCGATGACCAAAAACAATCTCGAACTTAGGCAAGATAACTTGGCAACTGAGATCGAAATGGACTCTTAAATACAAAAGAGAAAGGGGCAACACTACCACAAAAGAGGAATGTGATGAAAGAGATTGAAAAGCTTTTAAAACACATTGTTAAAAAACCAATGCTTCAAGGAAAGAGAACTCAAGTTTATTCCAGAGAAAATCAACACGAAGCTTTTAAAAGAGTCTCAAAACATTTCCCAGTACTCCAAAAGACAGATTTAAAACAAGAATGTTAAACCATTATGTCTGATCCTACAAACGGGTCTCAAGACAACTGCACCTGAAGATACAGACTTTTGGCAGTTATGACATAGAGTGGACAAAACTATAAATGTCATAAGCTTCTTCTCCAGCTATAGAGACCAGACATTCAATGGAAAAGCGGGAAAACATAAAACCAAAAACAGAGAAAAACAGAAAAGAAATTCCCATACGCAAAGCCACAGAAGAAAACCAGAAGCGTGTTTGATGGTAAGGGGAAGACAGAATGACCATAATGAGGGACACCAAAAAGAAAAATAAAGAGATAGCAAACTACTTAAAACCAATATTGATCATGGTAACTGAATCTCCTAGACAAAATGACCACATTTCACTAGTTTATGAGAACAGAGGCAGAACACCAATGGAAGCCTTCCATAGAGCAAGAGAATTCATCATTTAAGCACACATTATCCCTCAAAATGGGTCATATAGGGATATATACCTCGTTAAAAGGGCCGATAAATAATGAAACTAAAAAAGTAGGTTTGAAACATCAGGCATAAAAAATAAAGATACGCGAAAAAAAAACTCCGGCCATCCCCAAAATATCAAGTCGAAGTCGAAGATACTGGACTAATCATTAACCTAATCTATAACTTGAAATCTAATCAAAGAAGACCGCATAAATATCAGAGAGACAGTACAAAAATATCAGAGAACAAGGTCATACCACTTGGTTTCTCTTATCTCAGATACCAAGCACGTTCACCATCAAAACCAGTACCAGCACTAGCACCAACACCATTAACATTACCATCACCAATATATTGCCCCGCCATTCCCATATGGTTCGGTGGCACCATAGGTCCCTGGTTCATCATACCCGAGCCAAACATACGATAATTCGGTAAACCAGCAACCATTGGATTACCCATCATTGCACCATACATCGGATTAAAACCAGGAGGCTGAGAATGCCCGTAAAAGGGCATGTTCTGTCCAACATACATTGGCATATTCTGCTGCTGCTGATGTCCCTTATCAAGTCCATAAGCCAAATCAATCCCAGGCAAAACCATTTCACTGTGGTTAGCCGTACGACTCAAATCAATCTTCACAGACTCAACCGGTTGTTCTCGCGGCTTTCCAGCAGTAGACGGCTTAGCTAGACTACAAATCACAGTTCGATTATACATTCTCTTCTCGGGATTCCTCAACGCCGCTCTCGCTCCTTTACACGTCTTAAACAACACAAAGCCAAAACCTTTAGCTCTTCCTGTATCCTTATCCATAACCACAGAACATTCCTCTATCTCCCCAAAAACCTCAAAAGCCGCCTTGAGATTCTCATGCGTCGTGTCCCATCCAAGACCACGCACAAATATGTTCCGCTGAGAACTATCTCTATCCGCTGATTCAAACACAGCAGAGATCAATTTAGAACCTTTCTCAGCAGTTTTGTAAATTAGGTTAATAAGCTCTTCCTTAGAGTATGATTCAAGCAGATGCTTAACATCTTCCTTATCGAATTCAAAATCTGAATCCGACTCATTGTTTGTGGTAACAATCGGGACCGTAATAGGCTTCGAATCGACGATTTGAGTTTGTGTCTCTTCGGATTCATCTGATTTCTTGTGTTTCTTCTTGCTCTCCTTCGATTTTTTAGGAGATTTCTCTTCCTCTTCTTCTACTTCGTGTTTCTTGGATTTCTTCTTGGATTTCTCAGGCTTCTCTGTCTCTTTGGATTTTGATTTATGCTTTTTTGAGATTTTCTTCTCCTTCACCGCGAGTTCTTCAGCCTCGCGACGCTTCTTCTCTTTCCTCTCTTTCTTCTCCTTCTTCTCTTTCTTCTCCTTCTTACGTTCTTCTCTTTCTTTCGCCATTGTTGACGGCAGTGTCTACAAAAAACAAACTCAGAATAGAGAGAAACTCCTCTAAAATAGGGTGCACCAGCGAACACCAGATTATTTCGTATATATTAAAACAAAACAAACACTAACAGAAAAAGTCTGGGTGGTGTAGTCGGTTATCACGCTAGTCTCACACACTAGAGGTCCCCGGTTCGAACCCGGGCTCAGACATTTTTTGTTTTTGGAACGTAATTTTTTTGTGTTATTCAGAATATTTAGAGGAAAAGAATCTTAATTATCTAATAAACCCAGTAATTAATGTGGTCCAATTTCCATGAACTAGAAGGGCAGAAAGGTCAAAACATACAAAAGGAAAAAAGGATCAACATTTCTGGTTTTTGTGTGCCGGCGAAGAACCGGTGAGTGACGGGTCAATTCACATACTTGTTTAACGGCAACAAACACCTACCGATAAAAGCTTAACTAACCAAATCGGATCAGAGCTCGACGATCTTCTCTATTCTCTCTTTCTGGGTATTCGTGGGTTTTACCCAGATTTCAAAATCGAATGGCGGATGAACTGGAATTGTCGCCGTTGGTTCCACCGTCGCCGATGGTGGATCCTTCTGAGATCGATCTCGAAGCAGGAGGACCTGGTGAACAAATTCAGTGCCGAATCTGCCTTGAAACTGATGGTAATGTCTTCCAAAACCCCTAGATTCGCTTCTTGCTATGTGCTCTTTAGAACTGATGGTAATGCTTGAGGTTTAAGAAAATCTTACAGATTGGTAGATCGTTAATGGTTCTGATGTGATTTAGATTAGTCTTTAGTGATTACTCTTTTTATAAAAGAGACTAGTGATTTCAAAGTGTGATATAGTGAGAGAGGTTTTGTTCTATGTTACTTGGTTGATTCAAAGCTCATTTATTGTTCATGGTCAGGTAGGGATTTCATTGCCCCATGCAAATGCAAAGGAACATCAAAGTATGTACATCGTGATTGCTTGGATCATTGGAGAGCTATAAAGGTTCATTTTTTTCATACGTTTTAGCTCAACTTGGCAGCCGTTAGTACTTGAAAGCTGTGAATGCCCATTTTCAATCAAATATGATAACCTGTGTATATGTTAGTGGATAGGAACTTCCCTTTTGATGTAAATTTCTGTTTTTGTTGAATAAGAAAACCATTCGAAGGCTAAAGAACTAAAGAAGGATGGTTTTGGATGTAAAATTTTTAGACTTGATATGTGTTTCATGAGTGGTGATTATAGTGGTGGTGTTTTAGTCAGTATCACGGTACAGTAATGAATTGCAGATGTTAACGCCCAGTAAACTCGTTTTATTGCAGGAAGGTTTTGCGTTTGCGCACTGCACAACTTGTAAGGCTCCATATTATCTGAGAGTTCATAGTGCTGGAGATAGGAAATGGCGGACATTGAAGTTTCGCTTCTTTGTTACTCGAGACATTTTATCCATATTTCTTGCTGTTCAGCTTGTAAGCATTCATTTTTCCTCTGTGCTTTTGTTTCTTACAGTACTGTTTCTTTCATTTGGTAATGTATCTAACTCGTGTTTTTTAAATGGCTCATCTTCTCACAGGTGATTGCTGCATTGGCCTACATGGTCTATTTCATTGATAGTTATCAGCAATCATGGCTTCGTCATATTTGGGGATTTGACAGTGAGGTCACGTTTTATTACATGTGTGGTATGATCTCAAACTGTAATATCTAAATTCTCCTCTAGATAAGATAAGATAAGATAAGATAGTATTTTCAGTAAGACCTCTGCCAAGTGTGTAGGTAGTAAGCTGGGAGTGCGAAGTCTTGTATTGTACATATGTCCTAGTTAATGCTTTGCTTCGATCAGAATCTTAGATTCCAATGTAAGGAGTTTGCTTTCAGATGATTTCATTGCCTCTGCGTAGTAGGAAGTCAAGCAACGTTTTTGTGATCAGTTAGACTTAGATCAAGTTAAGGGGTTGGCTAAGTTGGGAATATACTGTTAGTGTTCTGGACCTCGTAGAATTTTGAACTAAATAAGAATTTTTGAAGCAAGTTTATTAGAATTTAGTAATTAGAATTCTGTGTTTTACACAGCTCTTCATGAAAAGTTGTTTCTCAAGAAATTTGTGCCAAGTGATTCTAAAATTACACATGTGTGTATGAGCTACTGGTGTTTATTTACATGAGGG